TCGAGCCGCCATAGCGGCTGCGGCGCGCCGCCCCTTTTCCCGGCCCGTCGCCGCCCTTACCCGCGGCTTTGCGCCGCCCTCACCGGCGGCTTCGCGCCGCCCCTACCTGCGACTTCGCGCCGCCCAGGCCCGTCGCCGCCCTTCCCGCGGCTTCGCGCCGCCTCTACCTGCGGCTTCGAGCCGCCCCGGCCTGTCGCCACCCTTAACTGCGGCCCCGCCGCCCGTCTTCGCGGCCCCGCCGCCTCTCTCGCTGCGGCCCCGCCGCCTCTCACTGCGGCCCCGCCGCCCTACTCAGCGGCCCCGCCGCCCGACTTCGCGGCCCCGCCGCTTCTCTCGCTGCGGCCCCGCCGCCTCTCTCGCTGCGGCCCCGCCGCCTCTCTCGTTGCGGCCCCGCCGCCCTTCACTGCGGCCCCGCCGCTTCTCTGCAGCGGCCCCGCCGCCCGTCTTCGCGGCCCCGCCGCCTCACTACGTCAGCGGCCCAGCCGAGCCGCCCAACAGCAGCGCAGCCGAGCCGCCCAGCAGCAGAGCAGCCGAGCCGCCCCGCCGCCGAGCCGCGCTGCAGCCGAGCCGCCCGGCCGCCCAACAACCGAGCCGCTGTGCAGCCGAGCCGCCCTGCCGCCGAGCCACCCGGGAGCCGAGCCGCCGAGCCGCCCTGCCGCCGAGCCGCCCTGCCGCCGAGCCGCCCTGCCGCCGAGCCGCCCGGGAGCCGAGCCGCCCAGCAGCCGAGCCGCCGAGCCGCCCAGTCGCCGGGCTGCCCTACTGCCGAGCCGCCCGACCTGCCCTGCCTGGTGAGCACAGCACCACTGTTTCTGCGTGCCCTTCCCCTACTGCTTGCACTACTACGCTGTCGTCGTCATGGCTACCCCTAGTGTCCTCGCTTTTGACGCTGAGGGTCGAGCCATTGACTTTGAGGTCTGGGTCGACGACCTGCAGCTGTTCTTACAGTGCGATAGGGCGGACGGTCTTTCCCTCTTTGACCTCACCTCTGGCGCCTCTCCTGCCCCTGCTGCTGATGCTGACCCCACTGTTCGCTCTCAGTGGGCCACCCGCGATGCTGCTGCACGTCTTGCTGTGCGTCGCCACCTGCCTACCACTGAGCGCGCGCACTTTAGTCAGTACAAGAGTGCTCAGACCTTGTACGACGCTGTAGTTGCGCGCTACTCTTCCCCTGCCACTGCTGCCCTGAGCCGCCTCATGCTACCGTACCTCTTTCCTGACCTTGCTGCCTTTCCCACTGTCGCTGACCTCATTACGCACCTCCGCACTAGTGACACTCGCTACCGCGCCGCCCTTCCTGCTGAGTTCTGCGCCAAGAACCCCCCCCCCATGTACATCACTCTCTATTACATAGTCACACGCCTCCCTGACTCCCTTCACGTAGTCAGGGACCACTACCTCTCAGTCTGTCCCACCACTCTCACTGTCGACCTCCTCGAGAGGTCCCTCCTGGCGGCGGAGAAGAGCATCGTCGCTGTAGGAGCCTCTCGTGGTGACCCTCGCACCCCCATCTTTGAGGGGTGTTCTCCTTCCCCCCTGCTGCCCTCTGTTGCCTCTGCTGCTGCTGCCGACCTGCTTGGTCTTGAGTCGGTCTGCGCGGCGTCTGCCCCTAGCGGGAGACGCCGCCCTGGCAGGGGCAAGGGGGGCAAGGGCGCGGGTGGAGCTGGCGGGGGCGGTGGAGGTGGCGGTGGAGGCGGCGGAGGGAGTGGGAGTGGCGGTGGGAGTGGTGGCGGGGGCGGTGGTGGCGGTGGCAGCAGCGGAGGAGGAGGCGGTGGTGGCGGCAGCGGTGGGAGCGGAGGCAGCGGTGGTGGTGGAGGTGGAGGCGGCGGTGGCGGAGGGGGTGGAGCTGGTCGGGGTGGTGCCCCGCAGCGTAGCGGCTCTGGTGGTGGCCAGCGTCAGCAGCAGCAGCAGCAGCAGCGTTCGCGGGACATCCCCCCGCCCCCGCAGCTCCGTGAGTGGTACACGCAGCGTCAGCGGGGTGGGGGTTTTGGTCCGTGCACCTACGTCCTTCGTTCCGGCGACCGCGCGGGTGAGCAGTGTGGGGGTGCCCACCCCACCCAGCGCTGCTTTGGCCGCCTGACGGACGCTTGGCGTCAGCAGTTCCCCGAGGCTAGTGAGATTCCCCGTTGGGGAGAGCTGTCTAGGGCTGGCGTAGCTATCTTTGATCTTGACTTTGATGCTATCATTGCTGCCATGTATGCTGTGACTATTAGTGAGGAGGGTGACTGTTACCGGTGTTTCCCGCCCGACCCGGGCATTGGTACTGCTGCGCTAGGTACTTCTGCGGCTGCTGCTCTAGGTGCCAGTGCGTCTGCACTCTCAGGTACTGGTGAGGCTGCGCTCTCAGGTACTGCGTCGGCTTCGGCCAGCAACCCCACTCCTCCTTTGGCGACCTTTCCAGGCTCACCTCAATACACCGACCAAAATGTGCCACCAGACGTCCTTATCGCCGACCATTCGCTAAGCTTACTTATCACCGACCATTAGCTGGCTGCGGTATCACCAGCGAGCTGGTAGACTTCTGGCCTTATCCCGATGTGCACTCATGCTACTCAGGAGCTCCACTGGTACTATAAATGCCAGGATGTGAATGTTAGTCGGTACCAGTTCCAGTTCAGCCAGAAACGAAGCCTCACTACCCCGAATTCTACTAGAACCATCGCACAATCTCCTAACTCTCTCTTCCTGTCGGGGACACCACCCTAGTTCCTCGGCACTTGCTCCAGCCATGAGGCGCTCCAAGCTTTTCTTCGTCCTGCTCGCGCTCTCCCTGCTCGTGTCTCTCGCGCTGGCGCCGCAGTGCCGCGCGAATGAGATCGACGCGAAAGACGACGCCGACGATGACGATTCGTCGGACGCCGCCATTTCCGCCGACGCGTCGCCTCCTGGTGTGTTGGGTACCACATCTCGCTCAGAGACGCTAGGCGCCCTCTACGCCTCCGCCCTGCCCTGCCTAGCTCTAGTAGTAATCCATGAACGGGCCATTTTTCTTTATTCAACAGTGACTGTTGGCTGACTTTGTTCGTTCCTTGCCTTCCCTGGTTTCCAGGTCTCGTGAACGCGTTATACCGCGTGAGCCGGCGGTTCCTGTGGTCGCCGCGCATGCTGTCGTGCAAGTCGGACTGCGAGGAGAAGAACAAGGAGTGCAACGAGGAGTACAGCGAGTGCAAGCGCGAGAACAAGGACGACGAGCATAAGCTGTTAAAGTTTAGAAGGAAGAAGAGAGAAGAAGGGGGTTGCACTAGCAAGAATGGGGATACAAATAGCAAACCCTAGAAGGGTTGTACTCGCTATAGAGCACCCCACTACAGGCTAGAGCATAAGATAACATTCTGACATAAGCACCACAAGTGCACGCACACGTACAAGAAGTGCAAGAAAAAGGCCAAGAAGTGCCGCTCCAAGTGCGACTAGAGCTAGAGTGGCGGCTGATTTCGTCTATAATAGAGAGGAACATGCTATTTTGTGTGCGGAAGAAGAGGTACAAGTAGGGTGCTTGAGCCGTGTAAGAATGGGATGGCGCTCTTTTTCGGTTTGGATTTGGGAGGCTGCTGAGTGGCAGTGGCAGAGTTGTATCACATGTCCACGGCAAGCTATCAAGCTAACTTGTTCATACCTAAATGTTGGCTCATTCATTACTCTGCTAGTACGGTATGAGACATATTTATGAAAAAAGGAACACATGGCATGACAAACAGTGTCTACCAAATGCATATTTTCCATAACCCTTCGGACTCAAAACATAGCTCTTTCCTGGAAAGTTGCTCTTGGCAGTGTCATACCTTCATCCCCTGCAGACCAAGAGCTCCTAGCCTGGCCCACCAGAAGCAGCAGCACAGACAAGGAGCAGATGCACCGTATATCCGCAAGCTGTAGAGCAGATGGATAGTTACTTTTGCCCGATTCAACTGATAAGGCAATGGTATGCTGTGCATGTATTGCTGGGAGAATAGCAGGGGTTAATTTCTCATATAGGTAATTTGCTGGAAATTAGAGGGTATTTCGTGACTGGTAGTGGCAAGGCGTTGTTGGATCATTGGATGGATTTCACGCGACTGGTAGTGGCACCTGAGAATGTATACGATTTGAGAGGCACAAGAAAACCCAGTCTCCACTGTTTGAGGAATAATGCTTCTTTTTTGTGTGGAAAATGTTTACCATGGACATGGCGGCATGGTCCTTGACTAAGCTAGCATCTGGGACTGAGCATCATGTGCCTATAAGTACCATTACCACGCTCAACCGTTATGTTCCAGACTTGTAAAACTGGATATAGCACACAAATACAGCATGCAGAGTAAAAAAACGCCTCACTTCTTACGTGTCACGAGTTGCATTATGAGTGGGTATACTGCAAGCACAATGTACGGAGAAGTGAGAACTCGGTCCGCTTGAGCGATGGATTTCAATGAAACCAACAAATATGTGTACGGTAGATGCAGACATGCGGATGCGCGTACGAATTTGCAACACAAAAATCTCACCCAAGCAAACCATTCGCGTTTCGTGAACAGAACAAACTCGTTTGAACGACTCGACTGGACTGAATGTAATACTGTATGGATTTTTGGTGTTGCGCACCGGGACCGCGTCGCATCGCAATTATATGTTATTCACGGTGACATTGTGCGGTTCGATTTCGTATTTCGCTCCAGCGCAAGCACAGCATCTCACGTCCCTCCTCCACCCATAATCTCCCACGCAATCCACGAAACTGAAGCATCCAGCAACGACTTCTCCCTCAGGTAGTCCAGCAACACAACACCGACCAAATATACGCCACCAGATTTACCTTTATCACCACCGACCAACAGCCACCGTACCGTACCAGCGGCACGATGTAAGATCCGTCTGGCCTCTGCTTGCTGACCAATGCTCGTATAAAAAGGCGAAAACTGATAGCTTTTCAGCATCAGTTTTCCTCCAGTCCATGTCATTCACTATAGTCTGTGATCCCTCAAATCACATATTCTTTTGCTAGTTCCTCAGCACTTGCTCCAGCCATGAGGCTCTCCAAGCTTTTCTTCGTCCTGCTCGCGCTCTCCCTGCTCGTGTCCCTCGCGCTGGCGCCGACGTGCCGCGCGAATGAGATCGACGCAGAAGACGAAGACGCCGACGACGTTGAAGACGCCGTCAATTCCGCCGGCGAGGCGCCTGCTGGTGAGATTCGGATTATTGCCGCATTGTTCATGGCGTTGATGATTCCAGAGCACGCGAGGGCACGTGAGGGCGCTGTTCGGCGAGAGCAGGCGGTTTCCGTGCGGTACCCTCGGTTACGTAGCGTCTTTTTGCTAATATCTACTTTGTTTGCTTTCCCTCATTCCAGGTCTCGTAGGAAAGCTTTTCGGCGCAAGCAGGCGGTTCCTGTGGTCGCCGCGCATGCTTTCGTGCCGGTCAGACTGCGAGGAGAAGAACAAGAAGTGCAACACCGATTACAGCGAGTGCAAGCGCGAGAACAGGGACGACGAGCACGACCACAAGAAGTGCACGCACAAGTACGAGAAGTGCAAGAAGAAGATCAAGAAGTGCCGCCGCAAATGCGACTAGAGCAGAACCCAAAAGCGCAAACGCGAATGCAGGATATCTGGGAGATGGTAGATCAAATGGTCTTTTCTCTCAGGCTGTGCTATGTTCCGTTAGAAGTAGTGTCTGCAAGGGATGTTCTGGAGATAAACTGATGGGCACTCGGGTGAGATAGGTATTGATATGTAGTTGGCGAACCACCTCACATCAATGAAGGACTTCGGGCCATATTGGTATTTATTTGGTATGAGACATATTCCACAGCCAACCTCAGCCACTTGACCAGCGCCATGCTCCAACAAGGCTGCTGTGCCTCTAAGCTAGAAGCGCCCTGCCACCCTCCAAACAATCTCCAACACACTACAAGCAATCAACACCCTACCCTACAAATCATCTTCCCAGTATCGTGCCATACCACCACCACCACCAGCCCCTGCCGATGCACCTGCTGTGCTAAACGACTCTGCACCCACACCAGCCTTAGGAGCAGAAGCACCAAGAAGGCTGCTGTGTCCATACCCTTGCCCATTCAACCCATCCCAACCTCGCTCCTGCTCCCTGGCCTCCCACTGCCATACCCAACCTGCTGCCATCATCCAAACCTCACTAAAGAGCGCTCCAATAAAGCGCATAACGTCTGCCCAGGTGACAAAGGGCAGTGTCCCAGCAGCCACAGGGAGGAGGAGGAGCAGAGTGAGGTGGAAGAGGAGGCGTCTTACCCACGGGGGAGGGGGAGGGGGGATGATAAGAGAGAGGAGGGGGAGGAGGTGAGAACGGCCCCACTTGCTGCACACGAGGGCAAAAGCTCGTGGGTTGGTGAACAGTAGCTGGATGGAGGTGAAGCAGGAGGCAAGGAGAGTGATGATGAGGCGTGCCCATACTGAGAGGGACTGTAACGAGACGGTGGTGTAGAGAGGTGAATCTGTACATGTGGAAACGGATGCTGCTGCTTCTGCGACGCCTGATGGTCGCCGAGACTCTGAAGATGATGACGCTGATGGTGATGACGTGGATACAGATGCAGACGACGATCGCCGCCCAGAAGGCGATGAGGAGGGGCGCCTTGCAGATGACGACAAGGATGGCTCGCTCTCTGCTGGATTGCACACGGAAGAAGACGATGAGCGCCGTGATGCCGACCCGCCGTCCGACCCTCGCCTGTTTGCCGCCCACCAGCGCCCCATCACCAGCCCATCCACGTCATCATCCATGACAGCTGTCACGATCTCAGCCATCCGCCTCCACACGCCCCCCACCAACTTCCCAATGCCGTGCCCCTTCCAACTCACGCCCCTTGTGCTGCCCGTCCCACTATTCCCTCTGTTATCTGAGTCAACATTATTCCCCGAATGCTCTTTAAAACGCCCTGTTGGGTCCCTTGATTTCCCTGCTGGGTAGTTTCTAGAAGGCCCTGTTAGGTCTCTGCTTGGCACAATCTCTCCTCTTCTTCTCCGCATCCCCTGTGCAGCTGCTGCTACAGATGCGTCTGGTGTTCGTCCAAGCATGACTGCTGCTGATGCTCCTGCTGTGGCTACCCCTGCTGCTGCCCCTCCAGTTGCTGAAGTTCCTGCTGCTGCTACTCCTCCTTCCAAGCCTGACCCTGTACAAGCCTTCCCCCCGCTTCTCTTCCCGTCTTCCTCCGCCCCCATCCCCAACTTCCCCACCTCCTCCACCTCCTCCCCCGCCCTGCGCCCATACAGCACTCGAAACAGCTGCTCTTTCCGCCAGGCCACCATGGCATGCAGCAAACACAGCCCCTCCCAACACACCAGCCACACCACCGCATCCCCCCCTGCCAGCCGCACCGCATAGAACCCAAAGTAACCACACACGCACCCCAGGCAGAGCACAATGGTGGTAGCCGGGCGGGAGTGGGCGCTACCCGCCCCTGTAGCAGCAGCCACGTTATTGAGCAACATGATATAAGTAGTAGCCGACGCGACCAGGAACGCTAACAACATCTGCCCGGCAACGGTCAGCTTGCACCCAATCAGACGCAGCCACGTCACCAGCGACCGGTCCGGGCGGGAGAACGAAACCCCGAGAAAAGACGAAGCGTCCAACGCAGGATCGTGCCGATTCTGACAAGCCGCCACACCAGCAGCTAACCTCTCCCCTGCAAACCTCCACCCAGTCGCTCCTATCACCACCAGCATCACCAGCAACCCTGCGACCAACTCATCCGCACACGCCCTGGCAAACCCTGCTAGCTCCTCCCGGCCTCGCCTCTCCCGCCCCTCCTGCTCCCTCCTCACCTTCTCCCCTTTGGAAAGCTCGACCTTCTGAGCCATGAGGTGATTGGAACGGTCTGTGGCGGCTAAGTGTTGGGCGTGGAGGGACACTGAGAGGGCGGATTGAGAGAGCTTGGCTGCTGAGAGGCGGTTTCGCTCCTCCAGGGCGGTTACGTAGCGCAGGGCGAGCAGGGAGGGGGTGGGGGCTGTGACTGTGTGGGATTTGAGTGCGTGGGATGTGAACGCATGGGATGGGGTTGTGATTGCGTGGGAGAGGGTTGAGTGGGTGTGGGATAGAGCCAACGGATGAGCTGACACGGGCTGGTATGGATGTGGCTGGTACAGGTGTGACTGGTGCAGGTGTGACTGGTGCAGGTGTGATGATAACGGATTGTAAGAATGTGGTTCGCCTGACGTGGAGCTCGGATGGTAGGGCTGTGTGGGTGGGGCTGTTGGGGAGGTCGGAAAGGGTGCTATGGTTTCAGAAGCGTGTGAGAGAGGAGCATAGGGCGGTGAGACGGAATGGTATACGTGAGATGGAAGCGAGTGGGTTTCTGGAGTGCGAGCGGGGATGGAGCTCGTAGAGACAGAACGAGTGGGGATGGCAGGGATGGGGGACTCGGACTCAGGAGAGTGCGAGAGAGAGGCACAGGGTGGTGAGATGGAATGGCATGCGTGAGATGGAAGCGAGTGGGTTTCAGGAGTGAGAGTGGGGATGGAGCTTGTAGAGACGGAACGAGTGGGGATGGCAGGGATAGGGGTCTGGGGCTCAGAAGAGTGCAATTGAGGAGCACAGGGTGGTGAGTCGGAATGGCCTGCGTCAGACAGAGGCGCGTGGCTTTCAGGAGTGCGAGAAGATTGTTTTTGAGGTGCCTCAAAAACAAGAGCATAGAATGGTGAGACGGATTGGTAAGCGTGAGACGGAGGCGAACTTGGAGCGTGTGTGTCCTGCTGCACCTGCTGCTGCCGGTGCTGCTGCATCTTGGTCTGCTCTTGCAATCGCCTCGGCTCTCCTTGCCTGCTCTTCCTCCCACTCTCTTCCTTCCCTGTGCCTTGTCCCTTGTGCTTCCTGCTCTGCTCTTGCTTCCCTGTGCTGCCACCCTTTCTCATCCCTCTGCCTGCCTTACACTCTCCCCTCATGCCCCACTCCTCTTCTTCTCCTCCATTTTCCTTAGACAGTCCCTTCTTCCTCCCCCTCTTCTCCCTCTGCTCGCCCTTCTCCTTCTGCCCCCTCTTCTGCGTCCGCTCCCCCTTCTCCTTCTGCTCGTCCGTGTGACCCTCTACCCCCGCAGCTACCTCGCTCTGCAGCAGCACGGCAGCCATGGGGTCATACGAGGCAATGAGCGAGCTCAACACTCCCACTCCATGCTCTTTCTCCTCCCCATCCTCCTCCACCCCCTCCCCTCCCACCACCTCATCCTCCACCCCCTCTTCCCCAGACCCCTCTTCCCCCACCGCGACTACCCCTGCACCTGCTCCCGCCTCCTTCCCCAACTCGCCCTTCCTTGCACTCTCTCTTTCAAAACCCCCAGTCGTTCCGCCTGAACACCCATGCCCATGCCTGCCAAGCCGCCACCCTGATCCAGCAGCGGAAGGAGCAGAGGCAGCGGCAGCAGCAGGAGGCGTGGCAGCAGAAGGAGTAGCAGCAGGAAAAGGAACAGGGACAGGACCAACTCCAGCAATCGGCGCAGCATTAGAAACGGCAATACGGGAAGCAGCAGCAGGAGACAGGTTGAAGGCATGGCTTGGAACGGCTTGGTTCGGCACAGTCCGAGCCAGCGCCCTTCGTACACGAGCGCAGGTTCGGAAGGTGGAGAGAGCTGCTGCGAGAAATGCGGGGGGAAGAGGGGCGTGCTTCACCGCTGCTGCTGCTCCTGCTGCACTTGTTGCTGATACACATGATGTTGCTGCTTCACCATCTGTACCAGCAGTCACTACACCACCACAGCTTCTGCTGCTGCGTACTGTATTTACAGCACAACCAGCTTGTGTTCCGAGTGGAAGCACCAGCTCAGACAGAGACACCTCTATCATCTGGGGAATGTGACCGAGGTGGGAGGAGGGGGAGGGACGGAAGGGGAGGAGGCGAAGGGAGTGGAGGAAGGAGAAAGGAGGAAAGGGGGAGGGGGAGAGGGGAGGGGAGGGGATGGCTGGCGATTATGATTGGGAACCGAGTTTTGGTTGTATACCTTGCAGGATTTAGTGAGGTGCGGGTGTGCAGACTGGCAATAGGAAGGGGTCGGGGTTTAGAGAGGAGATGATACAAGCGGGAGGATGTCAAACGGAGAGGTAAGTGGGGCGACAAGCCGCTCAAGGGAGGGATTACCTGTGAAAGCTCATCGATAGGGATGGGCTTTTGTGACGTCAGCACATGCGACTCCACCTGCACGGTTCCAACACGTCCACGAGATCAAGGTGACACATGGGTTTTTACCTCAACATTGTATTAAGGTGAGGTTAGAAACATCAACCATTGTGAGCTCCTCAACCGTCATGAGGTGAAAAAACATCGTAATCGCGCTGATCCAAAATTGCGAGGGAGTAATGGTGATCGCGAAATATTATGCAATGCAACTTCAAGCGTGCAGAGAAGAAGCTGGTAATGGGCCGTGAGAAGCGAGTAGAGCCAGGAGCAAAATAAATTTACCTCGGAAATGACAGCGCCGAAGGCCACTCCGAGCGACTGAGCCCACTGATCCGCAAACTGCACGTTAAGTCCAACGGTCGACCCGACATGCGTGTGGTCCGTGGAGCAGCTCGCGTGACTACAACGAACGTGACTGGATCGGTCGAGCAATCGAGCTTCGTCATGTGTCTCCTCGGTCCTCCGATTCGTAAGCTCCTCGTTCCCATTCCTGCGTTGTGCGTCGATCGCGGCGTGGATTTCGCTGGTCGCGACCCCGTTGTCGCTCGTTCGAGTCGCGTCAACGGTCACATCACAGCTTGTGCAGCATGACGTGGCTCCACGTTGTTCGCTGCTCACAGATTCCCGAAAATGCGGATCTGAGCCAGAGGGAATGGAATCGAGATCACTTTCAGCCACTTCGTTGCTGCGAAGGGTAACAGCGCCGTCTCGTGAAGCATGCAAGCTCTCGCCGTTTCGTGAAGCACGCGAACCGTTTTCCACCTCCAAAAGCGTCGTCCCGTCGTTACAAGGATCACTGAAGATGTCACTGCTGACGTCGGATTCCTTCACGAGTTCCGGCTTACTATCTTCGACAACGGAACTTAATTCGCCAACCATGTCGCACCAATTGCGAATTATAATCGCTTCTTACATTGAAAATCGGACTAAAACATGGATCCAAGCCAGAGAATCCCTCCAAGAGACGTGCCAACAAGTCTAGTAGCTACGAAAGCAGAACCCTAAAAACAGAGAATGAACCACGCTGATCGCCTGACCTCTTCGTGACAGATTATCCATGGATGATGGTTCTCTGACCATCCGAGGAATTTATTTTCAGAGAGCTTTGAGAAAGGAGGTGCATGCGGAGCTCAGGAAATGGCGGGAAAGGAGACTGTCAGAAGTGTCAGTGTACGAGGAGGACCAGGAATTTCCCACACTGGAATTCAAATTAGTCACGTATAATGGTATTTTGCGAAACCATTCGAGCAATGTTCCTGCTAGTAGAGCACATTTACTTGTATGATTTGAGAAATCGATTCTGTAGATGATTGCGCAAAACCTTTCCCAAGGCGCTCTCGTTTGTTGTATAAGCAGGCTGTGTATCCCTCTGAGCACCGCTTTGAGCCGTAGGAAACCCAACAAAACCGTGATATGCGAATTCAGAGCACTGCGAACTTCTCTCAGCTTCAGATCCTCTGTTGTTTCAAACTGATCGAGCTGTCTCATTCAGCTTCGGCGCTCGCTTCCCAATCCATTGGGAACGTCAAATGCGTTGCACTGACAAACAGCTCGTCCCGCCATGGCTGCCGTTTCACGAGTCATGAATTCGCGCGCGATTCAGGTCAGGGAATTCAGCCACGTTTCGCTTAGAACGCTTATCACCGCACCTCCCTCTCAGGCTCTTAGTCTACGCTGTAGACCGTGTTCGAGCGTTCTAATGACAGCACCTTTTGCTGAAGTCACCTCGGTCACAAGCACTCGGCTCAGAGTCAGCTCATTAGATGCCAACCGTCAGATATCCGTTTTGCATGCTGACGTGTACACCTCGCGCTTCATTGGCCCAGGAAAACCCCTGAGGTTCTCAACGAATCCGCGTTTAGGTCGATCTGATCCGTTGAGTCACCTCCGTTACACTCACGTTACTGATCCCAGGATGGATTCGGCGAAATCAGCTGCAGCGTCTCGATATCTACACACCAGATGCTATTCCGGTCAAGCAGACAATGCCTCATCAGGCATTTTGTCATCAGGCACTGGCTCGGTAGCAGGCATTGGTTCGGCAGCACAAAATGGCTCGGCAGCAGGCGACGCAGCAGGCGATGGATCAGGCGACGGACTGAAGGGTTTGAACGAGGAGCAGCGAGCAGCGGTGGTGGCATCGCCACACGGCTGCGTGCGCGTGGTGGCTGGTCCTGGATCCGGCAAGACCCGCGTGCTCACACACAGGGTCGTGAATTTGATCAAGAACCTCGGAGTGCACCCCCGTAAGATACTGGTAAGCTGACAGTCTCGAGGAATTTCGGTCACACGGCTGGGTGCATGTAGTGGTTGGGCCTGGGTCAGACTTGCGTGCTCACTCACAGGGTCGTGAATTTGATCAAGAACCTCGGAGTGCACCCCCGTAAGATACTGGTAAGCTGGCTGGTCGCATGAATTCTGAAATTGACAGAACCTAAAAGACATTCTGAACTGTATACACTTATTAAAATGCTGCCGGGATGACCCTTAGTGGCAATTATGGGGGGTTGTTTTCGTTTTTGAAGTTTGCTGACGTTCCGTTTTGGCCTGTGCCTGTGCCTGTTCCTTTGCATGTGCCTGTGTCTGCAGTGTATCACCTTCACCAACAGAGCAGCCAATGAGCTTGTGACACGTCTCCAGGACCTCCTGTCTCCCGAGGCTGCTGCAGCTGTCCATGTGAGTCACGCTGGTTACCACATTCGTCACTATTATCACAGTTACCCCATTCGTCACAGTTACCACACTCATCACAGCTACCACAGTTACCGCAATTTTTCTTATCTTATGTGCTACTGCCTGTCTCTTGAGGGACGTCATGCTCCACTTCTAATGACGTTCCCCCCTGCACGCTTCAAATGCTCTCTGCTTGGCTCTATGTCTGGTTGGTTTGCTCTTTCTGGTTGGCCCCTCTCTTTGTGCTTGGGATGCATGCAGGTGGGGACCTTTCACGGCATTGCAGCTCGCATTCTCAGGCACGAGATGCTTCCCTCTCTTCGCAACCGAAGGTGAGTAAGGGTGGCGAGGGTGTACACTGGTTTTTGTTTTCTTTTCTTTTGTTGCAATGCGTATGTGATTTTCTTTCCTTTTTACTATAGTTATATCACAAATTATCACCCTTTTTCCTCGAATGTCAATGTTTCGTCCTGGTGCTCTCAAGCGCCTCTCTTTGCCCATTCGCCTTTATCTGCCTGCCTGCAGATGCTACAGGGACTACACCATATATGACGAGGATGATTCACTGCGAGTGATAAAGGAGATTGATAAGCAGGTGAGACCACATCTCGGGGTCCATCCATGCAATAAATACATGAACCCACGAACACATGGATCCATGAATTTATATTACCATAAGCCTGTGAATCCAGAATCCCATGGACTTATAAACCCATGAACCCTGAACCCAAGACCCGTTCCCTCTATCCATCTCATCCTTTCAATCCCCTGTTCACCCCAGGAGAAAGAAAGACTCGCTAAGATCAGCCCATATCAGCCAGGGAAATCCAATTCAGCAGCAGCAGGAGGAGCAGCAGCAGGAGCCAATCCGGACGGCCTATACGAGGCCATGTCACATCTCTCTCTCCAATCAGGCGACGCCACGTCAGCAGCACAGGCAGCAGTGGCAGAAGTGCTGGGGGATAGAGGGGGTGGGGGAGCGGGAGGAGATGGGGTAGACGGGGATAAGGAGGGAAACCGGTTGAAAAATATAAGGGATGCGGTGTTGAGGTATAAGGAGGGGGGGATGAAAGAGGACATGAGGGGGAGAGTGGGGGAGAGGAGGAGAGGGAGGTTCGAAGGGGAGTTGAGCATAGGAGGCTCCATTCCCAGATACGCGAAGCTGTACGAGGTGAGATTGGAGTATAATATCGCACACTGTTATAATGGTGTTGCGCATGACGAGGTGAGATGGGAATGATGTTTTGCACACTGTTACTAAGGTGTTGCGCATGACGTGAGGTGGGATGCGTTTTGGGTCAACCTTGAAATCGTTTGGCTGCATTCCCAGATACGCCAAGGTGTATGAGGTGAGATTGTAAGAAATCGTTTGTATGGGTATACACAGAGAGTTTAAGGTGAGGGATGGTGTATTAGTGAGCACGTATCTTTCATCCGTCTTCCCCCCCTCTGCACTTCTCGCCCTCCCTGTCCCTGTCAGGAAGAGCTGAGGTGCAGCAACGCGTTGGATTTTGACGACCTCACACACTTCCTCCTCGGCCGCTTCCACTCTCAACCTTTGAAGCGGCTCAAAACCCCTCCTTTCCGTGCTTCCTGCGCTCCCTGGTTCACTTCCCGCCTTCCCTGTCCCTGTCAGGACGAGCTGAGGCGGAGCAACGCGTTGGAATTTGACGACCTCACACACTTCCTCCTCGACCTCTTCCACACCCAGCCCCACGTGCTCAAGGTGAGCTCTCTATGATATGCTCTCTCACGGAGGCTTTCAATCAGTACACCTGATTTTGACCACCTCACACATTTCCTCCTCGACCTCTTTCACTCTCAGCTGCACGTGCTCAAGGTGAGCCCGCGTGCAAGGTGCGGATTTGTGCATCTTTCTGTCGCCCATCCACGCATTTCCTCCTCGGCCTCTTTCACACGCAGCCCCATGTGCTTAAAGCTCAAGTATACATTTGTCAGTGGGGTTTCGGGTTTTACAGTGTGCCTCACGGTTTTGCCCCAACGTTCAAGTTCCTGAGGATTTTGAACCCCAACTTTCCTAGGCTGAGCTTAGGATTTTGAACCCCAACTTTCCTAGGCTGAGCTTAGGATTTTGAACCCCAACTTTCCTAGGCTGAGCTTAGGATTTTGAACCCCAACTTTCCTAGGCTGAGCTTAGGATTTTGAACCCCAACTTTCCTAGGCTGAGCTTAGGATTTTGAACCCCAACTTTCCTAGGCTGAGCTTAGGATTTTGAACCCCAACTTTCCTAGGCTGAGCTTAGGATTTTGAACCCCAACTTTCCTAGGCCGAGCTTAGGATTTTGAACCCCAACTTTCCTAGGCTGAGCTTAGGATTTTGAACCCCAACTTTCCTAGGCTGAGCTTAGGATTTTGAACCCCAACTTTCCTAGGCTGAGCTTAGGATTTTGAACCCCAACTTTCCTAGGCTGAGCTTAGGATTTTGAACCCCAACTTTCCTAGGCTGAGCTTAGGATTTTGAACCCCAACTTTCCTAGGCTGAGCTTAGGATTTTGAACCCCAACTTTCCTAGGCTGAGCTTAGGATTTTGAACCCCAACTTTTTAAGCACAGAAAAACAGTTTCGACCTGGATCCAACAGGTAACTCGTCCTAATCTCTTCCTAATCTCCTCTAGGCTGAGCTTAGGATTTTGAACCCCAACTTTCCTAGGCTGAGCTTAGGATTTTGAACCCCAACTTTCCTAGGCTGAGCTTAGGATTTTGAACCCCAACTTTCCTAGGCTGAGCTTAGGATTTTGAACCCCAACTTTCCTAGGCTGAGCTTAGGATTTTGAACCCCAACTTTCCTAGGCTGAGCTTAGGATTTTGAACCCCAACTTTCCTAGGCTGAGCTTAGGATTTTGAACCCCAACTTTCCTAGGCTGAGCTTAGGATTTTGAACCCCAACTTTTTAAGCACAGAAAAACAGTTTCGACCTGGATCCAACAGGTAACTCGTCCTAATCTCTTCCTAATCTCCTCTAGGCTGAGCTTAGGATTTTGAACCCCAACTTTCCTAGGCTGAGCTTAGGATTTTGAACCCCAACTTTTTAAATGTATACAGAAGCCCCCCTCTTTACAATGCTATCAATGTATACAGAAGCCCCCCTCTTTACAATGCTATCAATGTATACAGAAGCCCCCCTCTTTACAATGCTATCAATGTATACAGAAGCCCCCCTCTTTACAATGCTATCAATGTATACAGAAGCCCCCCTCTTTACAATGCTATCAATGTATACAGAAGCCCCCCTCTTTACAATGCTATCTTTTATGGGAGATGATGTGTTGGTGGCTATTGAGTCGACTAATTCACGTGCTCAGAATGAGGTCCCCCCTTTTCAGTGCTGTGCTTTCTTATGGAAATGCTTTCGTACAATGCTGCACGTTTGTGAGCCCCTCCGACATGCCCCTCCCTCCGACATGCCCCTCCCTCCGACATGCCCCTCCCTCCGACATGCCCCTCCCTCCGACATGCCCCTCCCTCCGACATGCCCCTCCCTCCGACATGCCCCTCCCTCCGACATGCCCCTCCCTCCGACATGCCCCTCCCTCCGACATGCCCCTCCCTCCGACATGCCCCTCCCTCCGACATGCCCCTCCCTCCGACATGCCCCTCCCTCCGACATGCCCCTCCCTCCGACATGCCCCTCCCTCCGACATGCCCCTCCCTCCTGCATGCCCCTCCCTCCCGCATGCCCTGCCCCTCCCTCTCACGTGCCCCTTCCACGTGCCCCTCTTGTTGCTACTGGCAGAAATACCAAGAGCGCTTTCAGCATGTGTTGGTGGACGAGTTTCAGGACACGGATTCGGTGAGTGGGATAATGAGACGTGTCGCAATATTGAAGCGAGGTAGGGAATAATGAGGCTACCAGTCTCTGGTATCACGGCAGGTTTCAGCATGTGTTGGTGGACGAGTTTCAGGACACGGATTCGGTGAGTGGGCAGCGTTGCAGCACCTCTCAACTCCCCTACTTTCTCCCTGCTTCTCTGTCGTCTCCCTCTCCTCCAGTTCCAGTACGAGATAGTGCGGCTACTGACACTCAACTCCAAGTGCCTGTTCGTTGTGGGGGACATTGACCAGGTGCGACCAGGTGCGACCAGGTGCGACCAGGTGCGACCAGGTGCGACCAGGTGCGACCATGTGCGGCCAGGTGCGACCAGGTGCGACCAGGTGCGACCATGTGCGACCAGGTGCGACCAGCTGCGACCAGGTGAGACCAGGTGCGACCAGGTGAGACCAGGTGCGACCAGGTGAGACCAGGTGCGACCAGGTGCGACCAGGTGCGACCAGGTGAGACCAGGTGCGACCAGGTGAGACCAGGTGCGACCAGGTGCGACCAGGTGCGACCAGGTGAGACCAGGTGCGACCAGGCGGGGCTTGTTGACTAAGTGTGACGTTTTGATTACATTTGATTGGATTCAAAGTTTCTGTTTGTTATGGGAGACTCCTAATCGAGTCCCCAACTGCATGCCTCGTCACTCTCGCCTCCGGCCTTTGCTTGCTCCTGTCTTATCCACACGTTTCGTTTTGTCATTTCTTACATGGGTCCACCCATCATTTCTTACATGGGTCCACCCATCATTTCTTACATGGGTCCACCCATCATTTCTTACATGGGTCCACCCATCATTTCTTACATGGGTCCACCCATCATTTCTTACATGGGTCCACCCATCATTTCTTACATGGGTCCACCCATCATTTCTTACATGGGTCCACCCATCATTTCTTACATGAGTCCACCCATCATTTCTTACATGGGTCCACCCATCATTTCTTACATGGGTCCACCCATCATTTCTCTGTCGTTGCATGTGCGCACAACATGGCATGGCAGTGCATCTATTCCTGAAGGGGGGCAGGGTACCACTACCTGCAGCAGCTTCCTGCCTGCCTGCCTGCCTGGTTGCTCACTTGTTACCCTCCCTCCCTTCCTACCTTGTGTGCATGGCATGGCAGTGCATCTACTCCTGGAGGGGAGCAGAGTACCACTACCTGCAGCGGCCGCCTGCCTGCCTTATTGGTCACTTGATACCCCCCCCCCCTCCCAATTGCGTGCGCACAACATGGCATGGCAGTGCATCTACTCCTGGCGTGGAGCAGAGTACCACTACCTGCAGCGGCTTTTAGACGAGGACTTTGATGACGTCACCACGCTGCAGGTGAGTGAGTGATTGAGTGAGTGCGGGAGTGTGAGTGAGGGTGTGCGATCGAGTGAGTGAGCGAGCGAGTGAGTGAGTAAGCAAGACCCACGTCCCCCACCTCACCACATCATGAGTAAGCGAGTGAGGCCACCCGTGCATGGTGGGTGGAATCAGCTTGCACTAATACTCCCATGCTGCCAATCTTGTTCTCACTTCTTTTGAGTCGACTCAAAAACACCACATCGTTTGAGGCCACCCGTGCACGGTGGGTGGAATCAGCTTGCACTAATACTCCCATGCTGCCAATCTTGTTCTCACTTCTATCACTGAAAGTAGTAATCACTGTCTCTAATGTTTCTTGTATCCCCCCCGCCCCCTCCCCTCCACACCCCCCCTGTCCACTTGTACCCCGCACTTCAGCTTCGCAGCAACTACCGGTCATCCCAGAGCATCCTGCAGGCAGCAAACCGCGTGATTCAGGGCTGCTCCTTTCCCCACGTGTCGGCCAAACTCCCCCACACTCCCACCCCCACTCCTCCACACCCGCCAGCTTCGCAGCAACTACCGGTCATCCCAGAGCATCCTGCAGGCAGCAAATCGAGTGATTCAGGGCGGACCCAGGGACAGGCGCGTTGGGGGAGGCACCCTGGAGCTCAAACCAACCAAGGTGTGGAGCGTGAGGGGACGAGGATAAGGGGGTTAGACGGAGAGAGGGTGCTCTGGGATTGAATGAGTGCGTGCGAGGGAGCAGGCAGCCAAGTGAGTGATTCAGTTCAGGGCGGGCCCAGGGATAGGCGTGTTGGGGGTGAGGCACTCTGGAGCTGAAACCAACGAAGGTGAGAGGTATGAGGGGGTAAGGGAGGGAGGAGAGCAGAGGCAGCACGATGGCTAAATGGATGGACGCTGCTATTCTCGACCATAGTGGCCCTGCTGCCACTGCCAATGATCTCGATGCTGGTGCTGATGCTGTAGGTGCTGCTGCTGCTGATGTTGCTGGTGCTGATGCTGGTGGGAGCACTGACAGCGTCAGCACTTCCAGTGCAGATAGCACCTCTGGTAAATGCACAACCGGAGCAGAAGCAGTACTAGCTGATGTGAGTGCAGCGGATGTGAGTGCAGCGGATGTGACTACACGGATGGAGTGGCCCGCACCCGGGACTGCAGCTCCAGTCCCGCACCGGGGACTGCAGCTCCAGTCCCTCACCCGGGACTGCAGCTCCAGTCACGCACCCGGGACTGCAGCTCCAGTTCCCCACCCGGGACAGCAGCTCCAGTCCCGCACCGGGGACTGCAGCTCCAGTCCCTCAATGACTAAGGATTTTCATATCCCTCTCTCTCCCTCCTCATTACCCCTGTTTCCGTCCACCCACTTCCCCCCAGCCCCCAGGCCATCCGGTGTTCTTCTCCTTCTTCCCCTCGTGCGCCAGTGAAGCCGCAACAATTGCTGAGGAGATAGAGAGTCTGGTCGACCCCGCTGAGCTGTCCCCCTGGCGGGGGCAAGCAGGCGCGAGGGGGGGCGCGGGGGGATGGGCGAGGGGAGGGGCGGGGGCAGGGGGAAGGGCATGGGCGGGGGGAGGGGCGAGGGAGGGGGCAATGGGACGGGCGAGGGCAGGGGAGGGCGGAGGGGCGAGGGGAGGGGGAATGGGAGGGGAGATGGAAGGGGAGGTGGGAGGGGAGGGAGCAGGGGCGAGTGGGGGCTATGCATGGAGGGACTTTTGTGTGCTGTACCGCACACACGCTCAGGCCGTGCAGCTGCAACAGGGGCTGGCGGACCTCGCAATTCCATGCATTGTCGTGGGCGGGAGCACTCTGTTCCAGAGGAAGGTGGGTTGCTGCTTTGATGTGCCTCGTGTTGCCTGGGGGCCAAGGCATCTCAGCCAAACAACGCTCCAGCAGGGGCTGGCGGACCTCGCCATCCCATGCATCGTTGTGGGAGGGAGCACGCTGTTTCAGAGGAAGGTGGGTGCTGCCCCCTCGTTTCCGAAGGAGTGAGCAGCTGTGGTGGTTAGGGACCTGATAGCGTACATGAGAGTGGTCGCCAAATCAGCAGACAGTGTTGTTGCTCATCCCACCCTCACTCCCCTGCCCTCTGCTCCCTCCACTCCCTCCACTCCTGTCCCTCCCCCTCGCAGGTGGTGAAGGATCTCATAGCATACATGAGATTGGTCGCCAATCCAGCAGACAGTGTTGCACTGGGTCGGATATACAACACGCCCTCCAGAGGTATTTTTGTGTTTACCCTCGGGGACTTACGGTGTTTACCGTGCAGGGGTATTATGTTTTTCTCCTCTATGGATAGTCTGGTGTTTACCTGAAAAAGTTGTCCTCCGTGTTTTTTATTTTTTTATTTGTTTTTTTCCACTTCACCTGCCTTCCCCCCACCTCCTTCTTCCTCTAGAATCTTCCTCCCTCCCCTTCCTTCTCCAACTCCCCCCTTCCTTGCCCATGGGGGCCTGAGCCAAGTCATGGGCCATCGACAAGCCAAGTCACTGGTGCAGCAGTGGTTCGGACCATTGACACTCCCTTTCTCCCTCATTACTTGTCCTCCCCTCTGTACCTCTCTGCACCTCTCTTTCTTCCTCATCACTCCCGTCCTCTCTACCTCCACCTTGCCTCCCTTGCACCATGCAGGCCTGGGGGCGAAGTCATGGGCGACAGTGCAGCAGTGGGCTCAGGGCCTCGACTCCCCCGCGGGCACTGCAATCCTGGTACTCGTGCATCTGCGCGGCCTGTCTTTCATCCATTCATCCATCTTCCATGCATCCTCTTGCCATCGTCCATGCATCCTCTTGCCATCCTTCTTATGTTGAAAATTCCCTTCTTTTCTCCCTCCTATCTTGCAAACCCCATTCTCCACTCTCCCATCCTCCATCCTCCCCTCCTCCACCCTCCCACTTCACTTCAGATCCATGCATTGTCCAGGAACTAGCAGCATGCCAATTGCTTTCCTCCCATTGCTTTCCCATCATCCACACTCCCATACTCCACACTCTCCCATCCTCCACATTCTCCATCCTCCACTCTCCCATCCCCTACTCTCCCATCCTCCACACTCTCCCATCCTCCACACTCTCCCATCCTCCACTCTCCCATCCTCCACTCTCCCATCCTCCACTCTCCTATCCTCCACTCTCCCATCCCCTACTCTCCCATCCCCCACTCTCCCATCCTCCACTCTCCTATCCTCCACTCTCCCATCCCCTACTCTCCCATCCTCCACTCTCCCATCCTCCACTCTCCCATCCTACACTTTCCCATCCTCCACTCTTCCATCCCCCACTCTCCCCATCTTCCACTCTCCCATCCTCCACTCCTATCCTCCACTCTCGCATCCTCCACACTCTCCCATCCTCCGCTGTCCAATTCTCTACTCTCCTCCACTTCCCATCACATTAATTTGACTAGGAACTAGCACTGGGCAAGCATGCAGACAACCCTCCTTCCATCTCCAAAAAGGCCAGGTCAGAAAACAGCCTTTCTCTTTTATCCGGTGCAATTGTTCGTTCTTATTGGTCTGATTCACGTACAAAGCTTCACATTTCTAGTCTCTGTTGTTTCCTAGTTCACATCAGTTGATCTGTAACAAGCGCTTTGATCAAGGAACTTTTATATCCACCCACATCCCCTCCCTCTGTCTCTCCTCGTGTCTCAGGGAGAACCCTCTCAGCTTTGCACACCTCATCCTCTCCTTCCGTACTGCTGTAGGCACAGTGGATGGCGACAACTCAACTCTGAGTGCTTCGAGTCTTGATGGGAACAAAAAAAAGGGAGGGAAGGGCCGAACCTGAACCTGTGTGTTCCACCTACATCCCCTCCCTCCCTCTGTGTCCCGTCCTGTATAATGTCTCAGGGAAAATCTCCTCAGCTTCGCACACCTCATTCTCTCCTTCCGTACTGCTGTAGGCACAGTTGATGGCGACAACTCAAGTCTGAGTGCTTCGAGTCTCAGTGATTCAAGCCTTGATAAATCAAGTCCCGGTGATTCGAGTCTTGGTGATTCGGGGCTAAGTGGGAGCAGTGGTGTGACCGAAGGGCTGCCTCATGCGGGAGGGCTGCTGAGGACTATAGTGGATGTGTGAGTACAGGGAGAGGGTTGCATGCTTGTTAATTGAGGCACAGAGCAACAGCAGCAGCACAAAAAGTAGCAGCAGCACCAGTGTTCTTGAAGAAGCAATCATCAGCACATTTTTCACTCATCCTTTCCAATCTCTCTTTCAATACCTCTCGTCCAAACTTATTATAGTTCCTCTTCCCCATCCCTTTTCTCCACCCCTCTTCCCCACACCTCTTTTCCATACCTCTTTCCCATACCTCTTTCCCGTACCTCCTGTCGAGGCTCGAGTTGAAGCAGGAGTACAGCCCGGCAGCAGCAGCAAAGAGCCGGTTCCTGCTTGTTTATTCCTCTTCCCCATACCTCTTCCCCGTACCTCCTGTTCAGGCTCGGGTTGAAGCAGGAATACAGCCCGGCAGCAGCAGCGGCAGCAGCAGCAAAGAGCCGGTCCCCCAACCCTGCTGCGTTGAGGCAGCGGCATGAGGAGGAGTTGAAGCGAGCTCTTGACCAAATGGAACGATTGCAGGTGGGTGTGATGGGAGGGTGGGTGGGGATTGATTGGTTTTTCTTGGTGGTGGGTGTGGTGGTGGGGGGGTTGTGGTGGGGGGGGGTGGGGGGTTGTATGGCGTAGTAACAGCACGGTTGAGAGGAGCTGAGAGGATTTATGGCAGTAATGGAAGGAAAATCCTGCCCGACCCTGCTCCCCGAGGAGATGTAAGGAGGATGAGAGAGGAGGAGGACGAGCTTATTTGAAGAAAACAGCCATAAGTGTAAGTAGAATGCTGCTTATAAATCGTGTTCTAATCCACTTCTGTAACTCGTTCCTTTGACCTTCCCGAACCGATTGCTGATACTGCAGGACTTGGCGAACAGGTTCGGCCCAACCTGTGGGGTTGGTATGGAGGGAGTGCGGAACTTTCTGGAGCAGATTGCACTACTTTCAGGGGAGATGCACGAGTCTGGGGTGAGTCAATAACGAGTCTGGGGTGAGTCAATAACGAGTATGGGGTGAGTCAATTACGAGTATGGGGTGAGCTAATAACGAGTATGGGGTGAGTCAATAACGAGTCTGGGGTAAGTCAATAACGAGTCTCGGGTGAGTCAATAACGAGTCTGGGTGAGTCAATAACGAGTATGGGGTGAGTCAATATCGAGTCTGGGGTGAGTCAATAACGAGTCTCGGGTGAGTCAATAACGAGTCTGGGGTGAGTCAATAACGAGTATGGGGTGAGCCAATAACGAGTATGGGGTGAGCCAATAACCTGTCCGGGCTCAGTCAATAGCGAGTATGGGGTGAGTGTGCAAATAGCAGTCAAGGGGTTCCACGCTGTTATATGATTCCTATAATTGTTTGTTTTCCTCTCTTCTTTCTTTCCGGTTGCAGCGAGGAATGCTGCAGCATTCCTAACCTATCCTCCTTCCTCCCTTCTTCTCCCTCCCGCCTCCTCGCTACAGGGAAAGGAAGCACTGCTGTCAGCCAATGCGGTGCGGCTGATGACCATCCACAAGGCCAGGGTTCTGGAGTTCCCAGTGGTGTTCCTGACAGGCATCTATCTCAATGCACCCTCACACACCCTCACACACCTACACATTGTTACTACCTGTGCTGCTTGTTCCCCTTGGCAGGGCAAGGAGGGACAGCTGTCAGCCAACGCTGTGCGGCTGATGACCATCCACAAGGCCAAGGGGCTGGAGTTCCCTGTGGTGTTCCTGACAGGCCTGGAGAATCGAATCTTGCCGCTGATTCAGTATAGGAGGCGTGAGGAGGAGAGGCCTGGGTGGGAGAGGGTTACTATAGGGACGGGGGGTAAGCATTCCCACCATCATCAGCAACAGCATAATCATCATCATTCTCATCAAAAGCAGCAGGTTGCGAGGAGAGGAGACACTAGGGTACAAGGCGGGGGGGCGGAAAAGGAGGTTATTTTTTATGAAGAGGAGAGGAGACTTTGTTACGTGGCAATGACTCGCGCACAAGATCGACTGTAAGTGGCTACCTGTATTGTCGTCAATCCGAAATCCCATTCTTGTGGTCCCCTGTTTGTCTGTATGTTTGTATTTTTTTGAAGTATTTTTACTCGTTTACTCATTGCGCCACAGGTACTTGAGTGGTGCACAACAGCGCAGAGTTTATAGAGAAACCTTGCAATCATTGGAGCCGTCAGTCTTCCTTAACGGTCTACAGGATCTTGCACCGTTTCCAGGGAATATATAGGCCAAGGCGTCTTCGGTAACATAACGACTAGCAAATCACATTTCTTTATGTGGAAACATGTATGAAGATATACGCTCAGTCTAATTTGTCCCTTACCATTTATTTCGAAGCGTCCTTTTTTTTTTTTTTTTTTTTTTTGACATATACATTTATGAGGACAATGCATACATCAAAAGCAGTCGTAACTGAGCGTGAGGGCACTGCACCATGCACTGCCCAGTAATGCATATAGGGCGGCAGGAACGCCCGCTTTGGCTTGTTCCAGATAGCAGCGAAGTTTGTCGACCACTTCCATTTTTTGTCACCTGTCTCCCTTATCCTCGCCAGCATTTTTTGCTCCGCTTCGAAAACACTCCTGACCCGTTTTCCCTTCCCTGATGTCCCTGGCCGCAAGCTTTTGGCACCCATTGCTCTCGTGTACACTCTCGCGTGTAGCCTAAAAGCCGACCCAATCCTCCTGAGAACCCTCCGGGCTCTGAATTTCTGCCCTCGGAAAGTTGCTTCACATCTCTCCACCCACAGCTGATGAAAAGTAATCGATGTGAGGGTAGCCTCCGGGAAATCCGACGCCGTTCCGGTTTCCTGGAACAAGAGGTCCCCCAGCGAGGCAGTTGACCTCCCTGGATTGAGCATGCGCAGAGCACGACGGAGCCCTGAGACAACTGGCTGAATTCTCGGGCAGGAGAAAAGACAGTGTTCGTGCGTTTCCTCCACTCCGCAGTATGGGCATTTTGGCTTGCAGCTGAGAAAATCAACTCGCTCCCCGACCTGAAGGTTCAGGTTATGCACCCGTGTGAGGACATCTCTCGGTCGGCTCGGGATGGCCAGCGAGTTACGTGTGCGAATGATTCGCTGCCAGTCAATCTTGCCGCACCATCGACCAGACCACTTTGCCTGCTTCGTTAGGACTGCATCGGGTTTGGTCCACACCTCCCTCATCCGCTTCAGAGAAGCTGCTCGCTCTCCGTCAAAAATTGCTGACCGGAAAATTGAAGCCGTGGCCCCGCGACACCCCCCTGCTGTCACCGCTGTAACCGCTTCTTTCTCCCCTCCTCCTCCAGCCGTGCCGTTGGGGATCAGCAGGGTTTTCCACTCCTCCGGGGCTGCAGCAAAGGCTTTGAGAGCCAGCCGAGCAGAGTCCTTGCCCCTCAACTCTTTTTCCAAGACATCCATGTCCTTAACTGCTGCTTCGCCTGAGGGCGATGTGGTTACCAGGTCCCCCATGCGAGTATCCCAGAGCCCTTTCGCCTCCTTCTGCCCGCCCACTGGGTTAGTGCCGTTCAGCAGCACGTTCCAGTTGAAAATAATTCTTTCCAGCGCCACCTCCTCCTTGCTACTGACTTTCCCTGTGTCAGCGAGAGGCGATTTCAGGAAAGTTTCGCAGGTCTGCTTCCACCGCTCCCCGTGTCCCGGCCAGTGCTTCAACACCTTTTCGTGCGCCGTGAAAGTGTCTTCTCCCATCGGGAGCCCCGCCGCTTTAAGCATGATTTCTTTTTTCTTGCCGTTCCCCTCCGACAGGAGTCCAGCGATTCTCCTGGCCGCAAGACAAGCCATGAGGACCTCCGGGTCCAGTACTCCGAGCCCCCCATCACCTCGCGGAGTAGAGAGGAGATCCCAGCTCCACAGCACAAAACCTCCATCCGCCGACGCGTTATTCCCCGACAGAAAGTTATGAATTAACTTCATCAGCTTCTTCCAAACTTCTTCCGGTGGGGGGTAAACTTGAGCCTGGTAAGCTACCCTAGGCGTGATGTAGCAGTTTATGATCACCACCCTTGCCGCAATCGTAAGGAAAAGCGCTTTCCACTTGATCAGCTCCACTGTAATTTTCTCGAAAGCCCTTAACCATGTCGGTTCGCTGCTACCGGAGGGGGTGATCCAGACCCCCAGAAGGCGTTCAGCTTCATCTGCCTTTGCCCATTTGAAGCCCCCCAAAGTCCCAGGTCTCCTTCCAAGATTATGCCCCAGCGGCATGACAACCGATTTTTCCCTGTTGGTGACCAGACCTGACATCTCTGCAAATTGCTTCAGCAGTTTTCCTGCCCTGGCGATCTGGCGTTTTCCCTCCAAAAACAGTGTTGTGTCATCCGCGTAACCCAGGTAAACCAACCGCTGTCCAGCTTTGTTGCAGAGGCCAGCTTCCGCCTACACGCTTCTTGCGCAAGCGGCTCCACCGCGCAGAGGAAGAGGTATGGAGCAAGCGGACACCCCTGCCTCACCCCTGATTTTACTTCCACCGCCTCTCCCAGCCAGCCATTGACTAGTAACCTTGTCCTTGTATCTCTGTGCAGGCCTTCCACCCAGCCTACGAATCTCTCCGGGAAACCCATATCTCGCAGGATCGTAAAGAGGAAACTCCGGGACACCGAGTCAAAAGCCTTACGGAAGTCCACCAGGAGCATGTACCAATCTTCGTTCCCCTTTTTCGCTGCTTCAACGACGTCAGCCACCACGCCAATCGCGTCAGATATCCTCCTCCCAGGTATAAATCCGTACTGCTCCTCCGATATCACTAAGTGGAGCCACTGCTTCATCCTGTTCGCCACAACTCTCGCCAAAACCTTGTAGGTGAAGTTGAGTAAGGTGATGGGGCGATAGTTGTCCAGCTTGTCTTTGTCTCCTTTCTTATAAAGCAAGATGGTAACCGCTTCCTTGACGCTTGCAGGGAGCGAGGCCGATTCTGAGAAACTTTTCGCCATCTTCAGGAACTCTCCCCCCAAGACATCCCAGTTCTGCTCGAAGAGCTCTTTCGGAAGACCGTCTCTCCCGGGCGATTTGTTGTTTGCCAAGGCTTTGAAAGCTTGTTTCACCTCCTGCTCCGACCAGTCCGCCTCCAGTGCCGCCACTGCGTCAGAGCCCAGCTTCTTCCCCGGCAATAGTTTCCAAATGGCCGTCGTCGAGCGACTGTCCGATCCAAAAAGGTCTGTGAAATAGTTGGTGGCCGCCGTCAGAACTTCTTTGGAATCTGTCACCGTCACACCGCCTACTGACAGCTCTGCAATCTGTGTGCGCTGCTTTCTGACCTTTACCCTCGCTGACAGGAAAGGGGACGGCACCTCTCCCGCCAGTTCAATGTTCGTACCCGCCATCAGATGAAGTCTGTCCCGCTTCGCCGCATGGTATTCCCGCAGCTGCGTCTCCCTAACCAACAGTAGAACCCTAGCGCGCTGGCAGCTTGGGTTCCGCATTTGCTCTTGCCGAAGCTCCGCCACCACGTCTGCCAGATGCGCCGTGGTCTTTTTGACCCTTTTCCTCTCCTCCTTCATATACGTCCGCAGATCCGCGTTAAGTCTGCCCAGCAATAGCTCAAAATCCTCCTCGCCACTTGCCTCTGCCTTGGCAAGCGCAGCTTCCACCGCTTTCCTGACCCCTGGCCTGCCGATGGCTGCAGCATGCAGTCTCCAGATTCCGGGGCCCAGGTGAGAAGTGGCCTTTACCTTGAAAGCAACTTTAATAGCGAAACCGTGATCTGAGATGTACTCCTCTGGCATGGTATGTGCGGCTATCTCCAGGTGCGGAAGTAAGGAGCAAGAGACGAGCGCGCGATCTATCCTGGAGCTAGACTCTTTGGAGGCGGAGTAGAAGGTAAATTCCTTCAGCTTTGGATGCAGTGTGCGGAAAGCGTCCGAGAATTGAAAGCGGCTACATCGCGAGATAAGTCTGTCGTTTTCTAGTGACGATCCTGACTGTGATGTCCTGTCTAAAAACGGGTCTTCCACTGTGTTCAGGTCCCCGATCAGGACAACGTGCGCTGTGGGTGGAACAAGATCTATGGCGGGGCCGATGACATTGGCTAAAAAGGAGCTACGATCAGTTGCGTCAGCAGGGAAGTATGTGGCTAAAAGAGTTAAAGTGAGACCAGGCCGACTGACTTCAGCGGTTATCAGTCTGCCAGAAGGGTGAGTGGAGATCTTATGTATGGTGATAGATGGGTTCCTGGTGAGCACCGCCACACCTCCCGCTTTAGCAGTTGGGGGGGTGGTTAGGACTGTGGAGAAAGAGGTTGTCTTCCAGTAAGGATGGTCGTCAGGCAGTCTGGTGTCTGAGAGAATCAGTACGTCTGCTGCTGTTCTTGTCCATGAGGTTACTCTAGATTGCTTTGTCAGATCGCCAAGGCCATTGACATTCAGGCCTGCTAAGGAGAAGAAGTTTTTGTTACTCATTTATTCACCATCTGGCAGCCCCGCTTCATCCACAGGCTGGTAACGAGAACTACTCCAACAACGGACACCCAAACGGCTATTGCAATGAAAACACCCTGCTCGGCTCGACTCAGACCCCATACTCCTTCTTCAGATTGCTGAGGATCATCTTGTCGAGTGTGAACTTGGTCGCAGTACCCAGCTTCTCCAGGTTCAGCAGATGAGATGCAGATGCAATGTGGTCTGAGGCAGCCATGAAAGTTTTCCCTTTTGCTTTCCCGCAGCAGACTTGCGTGCAGATCCACTCTTCGCGGTTCCCACCGGTGGAGATAAGAGCAACAACAGGATCTTTCAGAATGGGGGTGATCAGTGCGGAAGTACGCAAGGAAGCAGCTGCGACAGCAAGCAGATTCGTCAGTAAGGGTAAGAAAAGGAAAAGGTGAGTCGTGAGCTGTAAACTGAACCGTGCAGTTACCGTTGATGCGATGGATATTTCCCAAGGTCAGTGACCACCCTATATTGTTCTGTCTCTCGGTGACGAACAGATCATGATAAATCTCATAATGCTGTCCGCCGCAGAGAGAACAGGACAACTCAGGATAGTGAACCAGCAGCTTCGCGCCGACCTCCAGTGGGTTGTCAACAATATGGCGCCAGCGGTACCGGTCCCCAGGGTGCTGAATGACCAGTCCCTTCACCACATCAGTGTCTGCGCCGGTCAGCGGGTGAGCCACTCGATGGAAGCTGAAACCGTCCTTGAAAGCCGACTGCTTACTCATCTTAAGCTTGAAACGGACAAGAAGATCTTTAAGCACTTCAGGTACAATGTTAGCAGGGACCCGCTTAAAGAGAACTTCAATCGCGAGCGGGTTAGACGACTTCTCCCTGAGGTAAGAGGAGTCCTCAGTATGCTGCCAGAGACACTTCACCGACGGGCCGTTCGTTTTCTGATATTCGAAGGTATGAAACTTGATGTGATGTGCGTCACGCTCGTCGAGGAAAGAAATCTGAAGACGGCAGAAGCGAGTCTTGGCCACATAACCAGGTGACATCTCCTGGATATTAGCAGTGACTCCCGCATTCTCTGTAAGTGAACTGCTCCAGACCTTCTTCATTAGAACACGGAGTGCAGCAATGATAGCTTTAACATCCTGAGACAGCGCCATTGGGATCAGAAGGATTGCAATAAAGCGAAGACGGAAAGCAGCCTCTTTTGCAATGTCAATGTCGAGTTCCTCATCCGAATCATCCTCCAGGAAACCCTCAACCGATCCTCCTGCGACTTGCTGCATGCTCGCCTTTTCTTCCACAGTTAAACCAGAGCAGCCAGCGATAGCAGCATCGACAGCAGCAGCAGACGGGAGGGAGACGTTAACCGCATCAATGTTGTCCGTGCTTCCAGAACCATTCTTCCCCGCAGGTCCCGAAACAGCGATCTTGTCAGTCCGCGGGACATTTACTCCATCAGGAGAGACAGGAGAGTCAGGCGACGGCACGTCAGGAGAGTCAGGAGCAGGCGGCGTGACCTCAACAGGAGCCTTCGCTGGACGACCCTTAGGAGGCATGGTGCAGTGATGAAACCAAAAAAGCAGCAGTCGTGATGGAAAAAGCTTCAGGATGGGAATAATGAACACAGAAACTTGAGCTGCCAAGAAACTGAGCACCACCTCCTTAAATAATATCCCGAAAGCTCGGGCTCTGATTTCCTGAGCGATGTGCTGAGTTCCCGCTGTTGAGACCTTGGGATCATGAGCAGCCTGATCCAAGTTGTAACTCCGATCTTGTAAATTGCAGCCTTGGTATTTGTGTGCGGAAAAAACCTTGACGTCATTGTTGAAATCAATGTCTTGAAGCCTAGGTAATAGTTGATCTTGATAAAACGTTGAAACAGTGAGCCTGACCCGAGTAGCTGAAGATAAAATGTCCGCGGGATGGACACGATAAATATATCTTCTGCTTCGCAATGCACTCAGGAATGTAGAACTGTGCTCATTGTTACCAACTGATAGGTAACCTTCACGTAACAGGCTTTCGAAGCGTCCTCTGGTGCAACATATGTCAACCATTGGCAGTGAGTTCCCAAGGGCCCACCCATCACATCGCGCACATCAATCCATTCCCCCCTTCCTGACTTCGAAGTGACTACCTCAGTTGTCACAAGGCTTCATTACTTCACGAGAATCGCGAACCACCTAATTCGCGTGAATTCGTAGCCTCCTATTGTCTCGCACATCTGTCAATTTCGCAAGCTCGAGCCGTCTCAAAACCCTGTTTGCATATTTTTACTCATGTGTAAGGAATTTACACCGAGAATCTCGTGACATCGAGGTTCTCGAAATGTTCGCCCTACGCGATTCTTTTTAGTTCCATTATTCATCTATCCGTCGCCATCGCTGATACCGCGCTGTCATTCTAATACGAGATTTTTGTAATTTCCGCAAATCGTTTTGCGGGTAACACGGTGTCCCGATTGTACCAAGCAGCAGCATAAGGTGACTATTGAGTCGCGCGAAGGCCTGCTGATTAGATTCAAGGTCAAGGTTAAGAAGCTGGTTAGCTTCTAAGCAGCATAAGCGTCGGGATACTGACGTGTCAGGAGCAACGGCAGCGGGAACTGACGGCTCGTTTCCGCAGGAGGGTTTAACGAAGAAGACGGCTTCAAAGCGGGAGAAAGAGTAAACGAAGAAGAAGGGTGAGAGAAGCGGTGCTGGACCAGAGAGAGACTCAATGAATCAGTCGCGAGATGCTGGGGAGATGGAGTCAAAGCGGGAGAAAGGGTCAAAGGTGAAGAAGAAGGAGAAGAAGGAGAAGAAAGAGAAGAAAGAGAAGAAGCTGAAGAGCGGTGCGCTGAATGGTGGATCAGACGAAGCAGTGGAGAGCGTTGCGGCTGCAGAAGCGGGGAGACAGTCGCAGCCACCAGAGGAGAAGGGGAATAAGGGAGAGATGGAGGAGGGTATTCGGAAGAAGGGTGATCGGAAGAAAGGGTCAAAGCGGGTGAAGGGAGCGAAGCTTGAGAAGGAGTCAAATCGCAAGGGATGCGCTGAGGCTGCTGCCGCAGAGGAGCAGTCAAAGCAGAAAAAGGTGTCAAAGCGGGAGAGGGAGTCAAATCGGGGAAAGGAATCGGAACGGAAGAAGGCATTGAGTAGCGGCGGTAATGCAGATGAGTCAGCGACAGATGGTCAGGATACAGCAGCAGGTGCCAAGGAGGCAGCAGCGGAGGCAGAGTGTCGAGCTGAAGGGTCTAAGCGGGCGAAGAAGGGGTCAAAGCGGAAGAGATCTGCGAGTGGCGACGTGGACGCTAGCAGCGGCGGAGATGAGGCTGTGGCAGGGATGGAGGCTGCAGCAGAGGTGGAGCAGTCAATCGGAAAGGAGAAAAGGAAGAAGGCGAAGCGGGAAGGAGCCGTGCGTGATGGGTCTACCAATGAGGCAGCTGATGGTGTTACGGTTGCAGCAGAAGCGGAGCAATCACCTGAGAAAAAGAAAAAGAAGAAGAAGAAGCAGAAACTGGCTGTGCGTGAGGGGGCGAATGAGGCAGCTAATGAGGCAGCTGCAGGTGATAATACTGGAACAGAAGCGGAGGAATCACGTGTGGAGAGGAAGAAAAAGAAGTCGAAGCTGAAAGGAGCTGTGGATAACGGGGTTGTTAGTGAGGCAGTGACAGGTGCTGGTGTTTCAGCAGAGGAGTTGCAAGCACATGGGACGAAGGAAGAGACGAAGGAAACGAAGACGAAAGAAAAGAAAAAGTCAAAACGGAAACGGACTGATGAGGGTGTTGCCAGTGAGGCTGCTGCAGGTGATGATGCAGCAGCAGAAGCAGAGCAATCACGTGTGGGGAAGAAGAAGAAAAAGAAGAAGTCGAAGCGGGAACGAGCTGCTAGAGATGGGGTGAAGGAGGAAGAGACAGGTGCTGAGTTTGCAGAGGAACTTCTTCAGGAGCATGATGCATCGTTACCAGGTGGTTCAGAGGTGGCAGCAGCAGAGGAAGGGTCTCAGGTGAAGGGGAGGAAAAGGGAATCAAAGCAAGAAAAGGGGTCAAAGCGGGAGAAGGCGAAACAGAAGAGAGGGGATAACGGTATCGAGGAAACCAGCAGCATCGGGAATGGTGCAGCGGCAACAGAAGGGGTTGGGGTTGCAGCAGCAGGGGAGCAGCCGAGAGCGAGCGGGTCAAAGCGGGAGAAGAAGGCAAAACGGAAGAGAGCTTTGGGTAGTGGCAGCAAGGAGAACGGTAGCAGGACTGATGGAGTGGCAGCGGTAGGGGTGGGGGTTGCTGTAGCAGAGGAAGAGCAACCGCGGGTGAAGGGATTGAAACGTAGACGGGTTTCAGTCCCTAGCGGTGAGGGTGAAGCAGCAAGGGTTGAATCAGCAGCAGGAGCTGAAGCAGCAGCAGCAGCAGCAGCAGCAGGAGCAGCAGTAGGAGCAGCATCAACAGGAGCAGCAGCATTAGCAGCACCAGCTGCAGCACCAGCACCAGCAACAGCAGCTGCTGCTGCTGCTGCTGCTGCTGCTGCTGCAGTTGAAGCAGAATCTGAAGTACTACAGATGCAGGTACCAGAAGCAACGGCGGGACAACCAGCAGCGGTGAAAGTAGAAGAGGTAGATGCAGCAGGGGCAGAAGGAACAGCGGCACAACCAGTAGCACTAGGAACAGAACCAACAGCAGCTGGGGTAGAAGTAGCAGGGGCGGAACCAGCAAAGAAAAGTCAGGCACCCAAATCAAGGCCGAAGAAAAGAAGCGAAAAAACAAGTGGCGTTTCTGCAATCCCGGCTGATTTGCGCTCGCTCTTGGAGTCATGGGGCATGGACGAGCAGCAGATGTTTCGGGTACTCGTGCTGCGTCCCGGACTCGCGAAAGTAAGCGTAAAGGAACGAATCCTGCCGGGCAGCGCAGTGTTACGCGGTTACGGAGTCGAGACCTGCGATCTCGCCCACGCGACCCTCATTTATCCGTGGTGGCTCGGCGCCTTGTCTGCAGAGGGCATAGAAGAGGTTGTGCAATTTCTGCGGGATTTGGGGGTCACGGATGGGGAGCTCTTGGGGAAGCTGCTGCGGCGAAATCCCGCGATGTTTGCGACTGACTCGGAGAAATTTCAGGAAAGGAAGATTGGGATGCTCAAGGAGCTTGGCATCACGGACTTCGTCCGAACCATGAGAAGGGATTCGCGAGTGATGACTGCTCGTCCGGCAACTCTCACTGGGAAAGCGGATTATTTGAAGGAGTTGGTGGGAAATCATCATGCTCATAACATCGTAACGCGTAACACCACCCTCCTGGCAATCTCGAAGCAAGAGCTTACGTCCAGGGAAGGGCTGTTTGAGGAACTTTTTGGACGTGAGCTACCCCGGATGGTTATAGCCAAGTTACTCCGGAAAGTGGATAACTCTTCTGGCGAAACTCTGCGAGGGAAGTTTAAAGCCCTGTTCGACCTTCTCGGGGTAGAGCCAGCCCGAAAAGTTGTTTTGAAATATCCCAAGGTGTTGCATGCTTCGGAGGAGTCAATACGTGAGAATTTCCGTCGGTGGGGTTCTTTCTTAGCGGGCGAATATGATGCAGCGGATATGGTTCAGCGGTATCCGCTGCTGCTGTGTTCTAACTGGGAGAGCGGAATACAGCCTAAGCTGGACTTCCTGCAGAAAAATCTTGGTCTGTCTGCCGGAGCTATAGGTTCGGTGCCGTACCTGGTGACTCTCAGCCTTGAAGGCAGGTTGAGGCCGAGAGAGGAGGTGCTTAGAAAGGCTGGGTTGTCGATTGTCGAGTCGGCGGATGGTAAGGTCAACTGTGAGATGAAGGGTAAGGGGCTGGTGGCGCTGAATACTTTCTTTGGAATTGATTCGAACAGGTTTCGGACACTCCTTAGGAATTATGGTCTTCCAATGGATTGAAGGTGGATCTAGGAGTATGTGGAATCGGGTTAGATGTTCCTTGAATATCTCAATGTTTGTTGAGGTGGTATGTAGTGCCTGGGATGATATGTAATCGAAGCCCATAGCGTGTCTATTCATTATGGAAATCTTGACAACGAGGACACGTGATGAGACAAATGAAGACTGGCCAGCCACGCGAACACAGGGTTTCGACCCAGCTGGCACGTAAACCAGCGTGGAAATTCGATTGTATGACTAGGCACAATGTGGCATCATCAGCACTCGGTGACATCGACGTAGGCCACGAGAGCCCCAAAACCATCACCATGTTATCATTGGCTGATACAGGTCCATGTCAGACAGCTTCGATCCACATCGACGTGGACTGAAGCAGGCCCATTGTCGAACCCAATGCTGACACTGCTCCATTCAACGTCAGCTCGGAAGTATCAGCACCTTCCTCCATTCAGCAGACAACGCAACGCAACTAAACGAATTTCTTGAGAATCCCGTTTCTTGATTATCCCAGCCTGCCGAGCCGAGTATAAAGTAATCCCTGGTCCGGCTTCCTGATTATCGCATTTCTAGACATCCGCCGTCAGGTCCAGCCAAGCTTGCGTTGCTTTCTTCTTTGTGTCTTGATTCTTCGCTTGCTAATCCCTCAGCAATGGCTGCCACCTGCATGGCTACCCTCGCCCATCCATCAGCTTCCCTTGTGAGGTCTTCAGCAAACGTTCAGGTGAGGCCTCTTCCAGCATGTGCTGGACTAGGGCCTCTCTGGATAGTCTCCAAGAAGACTCGGATGGCGTCATTCGTGAAGGCAACTGAAGGCGCTCGGTCAAGGTCTCGCGTGGTGTGTGCCGTTGGTGACGTATCAGGAGACGCAACGACTTACCTGATTGCTGGAGCCGTGGCCATCACGCTTATCGGTACCGCCTTCCCCATCCTGTTCTCGCGAAAGGATCTCTGTCCAGAATGCGATGGAGCTGGTTTCATTCGGAACTCACGTGTCCTGAATGCGAATGCTGCGCGGAAGGACGACAACCGGATTGTGTGCCCGCGCTGCAAGGGTTTGGGAAAGCTCAACCAAACGGACAAGTAGAGTCTCTCTCGAAAGTTTCACAACTCTTTCCTGCCATGTCGTCAAACGCGCAAACATCAGACTGTCGACCATGTTCAATTCCCGCCCCGTGCTTTCTTCCCCAAGCTCTCGACGCAACTTCAGCTGACTTTGATGAGTTGATTTTGGACAAGATTGATGGCTCAATGATTACTTCTGAACATTTTGTACATGAATATTGGAAGGTTGTGATTTGCTATTTAAATTCGTATATTCCCCGTTCCATGAGTCTCACATCACTTCGCGTCCTGGTTTGAATGGTGCACTTTACCGTCCTATATCACGCTGATTTGCCAGTCTTACACAAGCACTCAATACAGCAATCTAAAGAAATCGCAATCGATTGCCGGTTACGCATTGATGCAATCTAATGGAATCGTATTAGTGGGAAAAGGCAAAAACAGTTCTCGGCCACCAGAGTTCAGAAACTATTGCTCAGACGATCCTGACCTCAGATGTCTCTTTGGCCCCAACCAGGAAAGAATCTTTATGACGATTCTGCCCTCTCAGAAGCTCTTTGAAGTTAGTGACCCAGCCAGACAAGGACCTTATGGATTTGTGCGCCACAAAATACTGCACGGGACGCGATTGATTGACTGCAAGGCAACTTTAGGGAGTGCCTAGAGCAAGCCTGCTTCTTGTTTGAGAAACGGATGAGCTTGCATGAACTCACAACACACAGGGACGAGGCTCCTTTGTGCAATTTCGTTATTCGCAAAAGCTCTACTTACTGTACTAGTAACACTAAACCCCCTCAATCTGTCTCGGCATAGGTGATTCGTAAATGAACAACTTCATCATCTGGCCCAATTCGCCCCTGAAGCCCATGATGCTCGATCCAAGCTGGTCCAACTGATTGGGAAAGCAAGAGAACTGCACTGTAGGCTGCTTGTGCAAGCTGACGAGGGTCTCTTTCGAAGGTTCCCATTCATCCCCAGCAATTGGGATCACACCTGCGACTCCGCTTGGCAGTCCATCGCAGTTCCGAAACATCCGTCGTTGCGTTGGTTGTGCTTGGAACCAACAGCGAAATCTGGGTTTTTTCGTGTGTGAGACGACATCTTTTTACAGGCTGCGAAACCTGAATATGCTTGACTGACGCTCTTCCCGTTACACAAATTCCGCTTGACCGACCTTCATTCTGTTACAGCACAAAGCCGGCAGTGGATTGGTTGGGGAGGGTGGCTCACAGAGGAACCTGATGGGATGGCCCCGCCCGAGACACATGCGGCTGTGCACAGACCAGAGCTGGTTCTTTTCCCAACAACCAGATTGTAACCATTCCTTCAAGCTCGCAATCACCTGATACACTCGTCGTTCAACCTCCCCCGGGCAGTCACCTCCCATATTCCCCGAGTGCGACATCAAGGCATAAAATTGTAACAAATTGCTCGCATCACTGTTGGCGTCCAACTTCGGTTGACTACATCTGCTCCAGTGAGGGGGAAGTGCCAGCTTTGATTTGATGACTACTACTAGGTCAGTTGTGTTCGACAGGAAGTCTTTGCTTCAAGTTTGTACATCTGTGGATGGAGCTCCTCCTAAATCACCCTAACATTTCCTTCCACGCACGAGTCTCTGCCTAGGATTTAGGATCAGAAATGGTAGTTGTTGCTACAAAGTTTAGCTGTTTGTTGTGAGACGCACATACACTTCGTAGTTCTAATAGCTTCCTGCCTTAAAGGGATTTCTTGGTTCCTGACCCTAATGCGCTTTAGTCGCAGCGCTGCCTGTCGTAGAGGGGATTCTTGATGCCTGGCACTAATGCGCGTTCTTGAAGTAGTCGCAACGAAGCTAGTTCTCTGTTGTTGTTTAGAGTCACTATACCTTTAGAAGGAGGCGGTTGCAGGAAGCCACAGACACAAGGTGTCTGAGATATTATGGCTCCAGAAAGAAAAGGCTCTTTGAAGACATCAAGTGACGCATTTCAAGGTGAATAATCGAGTTCTTGCAGCTAGAACAACTTTCTTGACGAAACGCGGGCTTAGAGAAGGAGAACTAATATCTCGGAACCATTTCACCTGCAGGACTGTACAAAGGAGCTGATATTCTGTTGTTACGATATTTATTTCCAAAACCCGAAGACATCAGTTTGGAGGCTCTAATCCCGGTGAAAGAACGAGATTCTATACCTCGCCCGTCCTCGATAGCCGAGCTTGAATCATCAACAGATGCAAAAGCTTCGGCATCCAGGCGTACCCCCGTCCCTATGTTCAACTCCATATTCTCCGCTCTCCTTTATTGTTTCGTGGGACTCGCCATGGGTTTCATCAACAAGGTACGAGGCTTTCAGGCTCTTTACCAGTAGTAGGCGTCTGATCACAGTATCACGCTTCAGAAACAACCATCCATACCAGGATTCGAACTGAATGCGTTGATCGGTTGACATTGCAGGCTGTTTTGATGCAATGGCCGTATTCAAACTCTCTCCTCATGCTCCAAATGGCCGCATCTGTGGTGATCGTGTACTCCCTGGGCTGCGTTGGCCTGATTGAAGTCAAACCATTTGATTGGGGTTCGGCAAGATCGCTTTCCGGGGTCGTGTTCTTTTACAACGCGAACGTCGCCTTCGCATTGGCAGCTGTGGAAGCTCTGAGCATCCCTGTGTACCACGTGCTGAAGCGACTGACCCCTGTCATGGTCCTCTGCGCGAAATACTTGATTGGAGATGGCTCCCCACCCCTGGAGGTCTGCATGTCAGTGCTCGCCGTTGTTTCAGGTAATTCTGTGTTTCTTGTTTGTAGTTCTGGGACTTACAGGGCTCATGATCACAGGGCGCATGATCTCATATTTCCACTCTCTTTTTTACTAACGTGACATTATCGTCTCGCCAGGTTGCTTCCTTGCTGGAGCGGGTGACCTAAGTTTTGATGCGCGAGGATACCTATGGGCCATTGTGAGCTGCATGCTTCAAACAGCGTATTTAATCCTTGTTGAACGATCAGGCTCGCAAAAAGGTATGCATTGAGTGAGTCCTACATGTGAAGTTGACATGCCTTGAATCTGCCTTTCCAAGTCATTCCTAACTGAAGCACTTTATTTCAACGTTGGCTTTGCTTCCCCAGGTTTTACGACCAACGACCTGTTGGTTTACAATGGCGTCATGTCATTTCCTGTGCTCGCTGCCTTAACCCTAATTACAGGCGAAGCACAAAGATCCATCCCAAGACTGTTTGAGCTCTCGTATGGCTCAGATAGCCTAGGGTTTGCGATTCTTTTTGTGGTGTCTTTGGGGGTTGGGGTCCTGCTCAACTACTCTCTCTTCTTCTGTACAATTTCCAATTCCGCGCTCACCACCACAATCGTCGGAACTCTGCGAAGCGTCCTGGGCACGGTATGTACCCCTCATGATGAGCTGTGGAAGGAGACGCAAACGTGTGTGTTTATTCAGTGTCCTTCTCGGCACCGTTTTGTATCTGACCTGGTGTTCTGTTTCTTTTGCAGACGATTGGATTCTTTGTGCTTGGGGGTGTAAAGGCCACTCCACTTATTGTAGCCGGTTCTTCAGTCAACACAGTGGGTGGAGTGTGGTACACCTATGCCAAGTACAAGGCGAAGAATGCTCAACAAGCAGAAAGGGCTGAACAGGTGAAGGCCCACTCGAGCCCAAGAATGTCAGAAGACAAAGTATGAGCAGAGGACTATGTCAAGTGCTACGACAGCCATATGGACTCGTGAGAATAGCGGGATGGGATGCCAAACCATTTGTAACTACTCTGGGACTGCTCGATGCAGCTCTGTGTATATTCTTGGCAAGCAGACGCAGTAGAGATATTGCAGATCACCTGTATTGGCCATAATGACACAAGTCAAGGCCTACGAGTGATGTTCGCTTCGAAATTTCTGATGTTAGTTGACATGCAGATATGGTACAGGAGTGGTATACAATTTGGTAGCGCCTAAAATTCTATAAAGATTTCAGTACTGTCATTTCAACATAATGTGCCTTAGGATCGCAGCTTTGCCACAGGTGTGCATGAAACACACCAAGCTACCCAGCAAAAACTCCTCTTGCCCAATTCCCCTATGCTCATCTCTCCTCCTCCTTGGGTTGAGCCATTTCATACTTCAGAAGCAACTCATCAATCTCCTTTGCCCCAAACACACGGTACCTGCACACACTCACACACAACTCAGACAAGGCACCGTCAGGACAATTACGAGAAGATAGAAAACCATACCCCCTCCCCCTCATGGTTCAGCCCTCCTCTCCGCATCTAATAAACCTGTAGCCCCACTCATCCCCCCACACCTCAGGCAAACTCACCTGACTTGTCCATCCTGACAATTTAGGCAGCTCAATCTTCTCCTGATGCCCCTCCCACCTGACCACCCTCAATCCCCCCTCATCCACATTCATCAGGCCATCTCACCTGACTTGGCCATCCTCGAGGCACACTTTAGCCAGTTCAATCTTCTCTGCACTCAGGCTCGTGCTGTCCATGGTCTTACTCAGCACCTTCAGCGCCAGCTGCACTGCCCCTTCCAGGTCCATCCCTGGAATCGCCTCCCCTCCCGGCCCCTTCTCCTCCTTGTACTCTTGCTTCAGCAGCGACTGTGCTGCACCGTGATTGGCTCCTATGGCACACGCCCGCCACCCGCCATAGTTCCCTGAGGGATCTGAGTGGTACAGCTGGAACTGATGATGCTTGTCCCACCCTGGAAGAAGGAAAGTTTTGAAAGCGAATATTACAAAGTCAGGGAGAATAATTCTTACAGCAAAGATGCACGAGAAGGCCACCTTCCAGACAAAGATGCACTCGGACCTTATTATTAAGCAGTTGAGCTGCACCTCGACTTAACAACTGCAGTGCAACTTATAACGAACCAATCAAACCCCACCTCACAGAAAGAGACACCGAGGAGGAGGCGCACCTGCAAAGAGGAAGGAGACGCCAAACGGACGCAGACCACCAAACTGCGTGTAGCCCTGCTTGGTGTCGCACAGGGACTGCACCAGCTGCTCCATGGGAATAGGCTCCTGCTCGCAGGAGGAGGAGGGGAGCCAAAGAGGAAGCAGAGGGGAATGGAACAAAAGAGAAACGTAGCCATGCTTGGTGTCGCAGAGAGACTGTAACAGCTGCTCCATGGGAATAGGCTCCTGCACGCGGGAGGAGGAGAGCCGAAAGGGGGCAGACGAGGAAGCAGAGGGAAGAACACAAGGGAATGAGAACTCAGAAGTAGCCCTGCTTGGTGTCGCACAGGGACTGCACCAGCTGCTCCATGGGAACAGGCTCCTGCATAAGCCAGGCGGAGGGCAGAAGGGTGGTGAAAGAGGATGGTTCAGATGTAGAAGTGCTGAATGTCGCACAGGAGTTGCAACAGCCGCTTTACCTGAATGGGCTTCTGCAGGAACCGGGAAGGGCGAATAGTAGGGAAGCGGTGGAGAGAGAACGAAAGAAAATGAGAACTCGGTTGTTTGTGGGCCTACATGGTAATCTTTCCACTCATACGCGCGACAAAAGCACCTGATAGGCGTATGTGTAGCGCTGGGCGGCCAGCCGAGCGGAATTGACGAGGATATTGGCGTCGGCGGTGATCCCAGCAACAGCAGCAGCGACGTGGTCATCAATTCGATACATCTTCTCGTTCGTCTTGCTGCTCTCCAGCAGCTTCGACGTGATGCGCTTCTCCGCTGCCAGCACCACGCCGTCCGTCGCCAGAATGCCTATGGCCGACCCCGCATGGCTGATGGCCTCCATTGCATACTCCACCTGGTGGGTGGGAAGCGGCGGGAAGGGGTGGGAAGGGGTGTGGAGCAGCTTCGACGTGATGCGCTTCTCCGCTGCCAGCACCACGCCGTCCGTCGCCAGAATGCCTATGGCGGACCCTGCGTGGCTGATGGCCTCCATCGCGTACTCCACCTGGTGGGAAGCGGTGGGAAGCGGTGGTAAGGGGTGGAAAGGGGTGGCAAGGGGTGGGAAAGGTTGGGAAGGAATTGGGGGAGCGGGGGGGGGGGGGGGGGGGGGGAAGAACCATGAGAATGCGTGAGAGAAGCGGAGTGAGGAAGAGAAGGTGGATAGAGGCGGGGAGGTACGGAGTGGGAAAGGAAAAGAGGGAGAGGAAACGCGAGAAGGAGGAGGGGGGTCAGTGTTGCTGCCCTTGAGCAGCTTCGGCGTGATGCGCTTCTCCGCCGCCAGCACTACTCCGTCTGTTGCGGAAGAAATTCGACTCAAGTTGACTCAACCGCCGACTGAAACTAGTCTAAAAAGAACCACTTAGACTCACGGACATCGCACCAGGAACAATCTCTGAGTTGGCTTAGGTAACTGAACCTGCTTTTTGAGAATTCTAAAAAAACAGAGTCGCACCAAGAACAACCTCTGGGTCGGCCCAGCAATCGCACACCCTGATCGCACTCAAACTCAAACTCGACTGACGGAGACCAATTACTAGGTGACTTTTGAGTCGACTCAAAAGTCACCTCGGAGACCACTTACTCTCACTATCATCGCACCAGGAACAACCTCTGGGTCGGCCTAGCAATCGCACACCCTGATCGCACCTGGAACAGCCGGCCTTCCGGCGAAAACGTCGTCGTGCGACTGTCATAGCGTCTCGACATGGCGACAAAGCCACTGATGCGACGACGAAAAGAGAAAAACAAAATCTACGACCCGGGCCTGGCAGAAGAGCTACGGTCGAAGCCTGATTTCCCTGGCTGGAATTTCGGCTCTGTTCCACCCGAGAATTACGACAGATGAACGAGCAAAGAGGCTACGGATAGATCTCCTATACAGGAGTAAGCGGATCCGTGGAAAAGCTACGGTTGAAAAATACCAATTTCTCAACGCGAGCCGAGGACCTCCTTGGACTGCATTATTCGCTGGAAGTACAGAAACCGGAAAGGGAAGATCCCAAAACAAGCTCCGCCGGAATTCATACGCTTTATTCGCGGAGTCGACGCAACAACAGAGATCGAGAAGGAGCATCTATCCGTAGAATGAGCGACATGAATATGTGCCATCAAGATGGTTAATGTAATAAAGGCCCCTTTGAGACAAGAGCGGAATACCACTCTTTTAATCATATTGTTCTCCTGATGTCCTCTATGTTTTGAGACACCTGAATCATCAGTAAAGCCTTTAATAAATATACTAGTTCTAAAATAAATAAATGCAGACAATGCTAGTACTCTTCCAACCTCTTCTGAAGCACTCATCCATAAGTCCTAAAAGAATGTCTAAACTAGAAGTATTAGCCCTTTTCACAGATCGCCACCGCCCTCTCTTTGCAGCAGTCCTTTCACCTGCACTCTCTTCACCTCCCCTTCATGAATCCTTGTCCAACTCCCCGCCCCTCCCGCCGCCCGGGCAGCCTGAAGCTCTGCCAGCAAGGCCGAAGCCCTACTCCCTTGCTTCTCCCCTCCCACCATCCTCCTACTTCCCGCCCCCATGCCTTCCCCGAACTTGCGGTTTCCGAACCCACCATCTGGCATTATCGACCGAGGCTGAGCAAACCCAGCCGTTCCCGAGCCTAAGAACCCGCCGCCCCGGTAAGGAGACGCCATTCCCGCTCCGGCCATACCGCCGCCCGGCATTCCTCGTCTCATTGACCCATACTCTAACGCTCTTCGCCGCCCGCTGATATTCCCCACATCCTCACCACCCATTCCCCAACCCCCACCAATCCCTCCTCCCATAGAAGGGAAATCCACCATTTTCCTTCTCATGCCCATATCCTCCGCCGCCCCTCTCGGCATGCTGCCGAAACCAGCCGGCCGGTGCCGCCCGCTCGTGTTCCCCACATCCTCGCCGCCCATCCGCCCCAACCCCCCACCAAGCTTAGCCACAGCATCAAGAATACTTGGCTCATCTCCTCCAAAGGACTTCATATGGGCCGTTCGGGCCCGCCTCTGCCTACCTGGGTTTCCAGAACTGCCCGGATTCCCAAACTCCCCTCCCATTCTGCCCGATGCTGCCCCATGCCCTGCCCACCCCGCCCCCATGCTATGAGACCCTACCGGACTCATCATCCCCCCATTCCCCATGATCCCCGTATACCCACTGGCGACACTCGCAATAGGACTCAGCCCACCTATCCCCTCCCCTCCCCCTCCCCCTCCCCCACCTCCCCCTCCTCCACCTCCCCCACGCATACCGTCACTGAAGCTCAACCCACCAGTAAGACCCGCCATGTGAGTGTGCTGCCAGCTGCCGGGTAGCAACGCGCTGTCTGTCCTCCTCCTGCTCATAAACCCAGGTATGATAGGACTCGGCAGGCTGTTGGTGTGGAGCGTGGGGGTGCGTGTGGGGGAGGTGGGAGCGAGCTGCTCAAAGGAGAGGCTTCCTTTCATGCCCGAAATGGATCGAGGAAACTGCCTGGTTATGGCGGTTAGGGTTGCCTCGCCTGCACTGGAGGAGTGAGTTATACCCTTGGTAGACCCACTGACAGCAGTATCAGCAGTGCCAGCAGCATCACCAGCAGCACCAGCACCAGCACCAGAACCAGAAGAGTCACCTGCAGCAGCACTGGCAGCAGCACCGCCAAAACCACCGCGATTGCTGCTCCCGCCGCCCCAACCGCGCGAAGCAGCAGCAGCAGAAACATCAGCATCATCATCATCACCATCATCATCATCCTCAAACCGCCTCCTGACCCTACTCCACTGCCGGCCCCCCCTCGCCAACCCCAACTCTGGCCGCCTCTCCTTCCCAGACCCTCTTAGCAGCATCAGCTGCTGCTGCTGCTGCATCTCCTCCTGCTCCTGCCTCATTTTCTCCAACGACTCTTGCACCTGCAGCAGCACGTATGCAGTCTCATCCGCATTCTCTTCTAATCGCTGTAGAGATCGTTTGATGTGAGACATTTCCCCACTCTTGCCCTTCTTGGGCTTTTCTCCTAAGAGAGCTACTTCCACGTCCTCCCCGAATTGCCCCATGACTGATTCGGCTATGGTTACCGGGTCGACCTGATGGGCCTTGCTGGCTGCCTTGGTGGGACTCATCGAGGCCATCTGTGGAGGAGGAGGGGAGAGGAGGGAGGGGAGGAAACGGACAAGGTGTCAGGAGAATGGGTTTGTTAGACGGTTGGCTTGATGGGACTGGCTTGCCTTGGTGGGACTCATAGGGGCCATCTGTGGGGGGAGAGGGGAAGAATGGGAGAGGGGAGGAGAGAGGGAGGAGAGGAGAGGGGGGAGAGGAGGAGAGGGGGAAGAGGTGTATTGGGATTGAGTTGGTGCCTGGGTGCAACGCATCTCCCTCCAGCCTCTGTAGAGACCGCTTGATGTGAGACATCTCCCCGCTCTTGCCCTTCTTGGGCTTCTCTCCTAAGAGTGCTACCTCCACGTCCTCTTCGAACTGCCCCATGACTGATTCGGCTATGGTGACCGGGTCGACCGACCTAATGGGATTTGCTGGCCTTGGAACGGCTCATAGAGGCCATCTGAAGGGGGAGATGGTGGGAGGGAAGGGGAGGGGATATGCTGGCCTTGAAACGGTTCATAAGTGAATAGAGTCCTCAGATGGCCTGTATGAGCATAGAGCATAAGTGAATAGAGCATCACCCAACGCCATCTCCCCCTTCAGATGGCCTCTACGAGCATTGAGCATCACCCAACGAGTGTCCATGCATCGACGCCCACAAGCCAGCAGCAGAACTTTTCAGATGCCAGCAAACCCCAGTCAACTCAACCCCAGTGTACCGCACTCAACCGAAGCTCATCTTGCGATCATACGTGCAGTTCATGAGGGCAGCGACGTCATGTCCGTCTTGTTATTGCCCACATCAATCACCCTCGTCTGGTGGAACACTGGTGCAATATAGTACCTTCTTAGTCTAAACAACCAAATCGTACCGAGCCAAACACCACAAAAACCCAAGCCAACCGCATTTAACCGCAATCAACCGACCTTTCGCTCGTATGTGCGGTTCATGAGGGCATAGAGCGACATAATGTCCATCTTGTCAATCCCCACGTCCACCACCCTCTTCGTCAGGTGAATCAGCAGCAGACTGGTCAATTGCGCTCAACCGCACTCAACCGCACTCAACCACACTCAACTCAAGCTCACCTTGCGTTCTTAGGTGCGGTTCATAAGAGCGTAAAGAGACATTATGTCCATCTTGTCAATTCCCACGTCCACCACCCTCTTTGTCTGGTGAATCAGCAGCAGACTGGTCAATTGCACTCAACTGCACTTAACCGCACTCAACCGCACTTAACCGCACTCAATCACACTCAACTGCACTCAACCACACTCAACACAAGCTCACCTTGCGTTCGTAGGTGCGGTTCATAAGAGCGTAAAGAGACATTATGTCCATCTTGTCAATTCCCACGTCCACCACCCTCTTTGTCTGGTGGATCCGCCGCAGTGTCTCGCGCTCCTGCTTGGACATGAAGCACCCCTTTCGCACCATCCCCGCCACCTCTGCGAGTGCTGACTTGCGCTGCGTTGCTAGTGCCTCCTCCTGCAGTATATGCAAGTGGGGGAGGGGGCAAAGGGAGGGAAGAGGAGGGCATAGGTGGGGATTGCATTGCAGCGGCATCGGGAGTGCTCTTCGCAGTGTCTCGCACTCCTGCTGAGACATGAAGCAGCTCTTTCGAGTCATTCCCGCCACCTCTGCAAGTGCCAACTTGCGCTGCGTTGGTAGTGCCTCCTCCTGTGTTGAAAGCAGCAGGAGGTGCAGGAAGAGGGGTAAGGGAGAGAATGGTTGGGGCATGGATTGGGCATCGGTGGGGCATGGGGCAGGGATTGCAGCATGGGAAGTGGCAGCCTCAGTGTCTCGCGCTCCTGCTTAGACATGACACACCCCTTTCGAATCTTCCCAACCACCAGCTCCCATCCCAACCTATCAGCTCCTCTCGAGTCTTCTCACCTCCTCTCGAGTCTTCTCACCTCCTCTCGGGTCTTCTCACCTCCTCTCGGGTCTTCTCACCTCCTCTCGGGTCTTCTCACCTCCTCTCGGGTCTTCTCACCTCCTCTCGGGTCTTCTCACCTCCTCTCGGGTCTCCTCACCTCCTCTCGGGTCTCCTCACCTCCTCTCGGGTCTCCTCACCTCCTCTCGGGTCTCCTCACCTCCTCTCGGGTCTCCTCACCTCCTCTCGGGTCTCCTCACCTCCTCTCGGGTCTCCTCACCTCCTCTCGGGTCTCCTCACCTCCTCTCGGGTCTCCTCACCTCCTCTCGGGTCTCCTCACCTCCTCTCGGGTCTCCTCACCTCCTCTCGGGTCTCCTCACCTCCTCCCGGGTCTCCTCACCTCCTCTCGGGTCTCCTCACCTCGTCTCGGGTCTCCTCACCTCCTCTCGGGTCTCCTCACCTCCTCTCGGGTCTCCTCACCTCCTCTCGGGTCTTCTCGTGCGTTCCCAGGAACAGCAGGTGGTGCCTCAGCTTCCTCAGACTCCAGTACGGCGTGCATATCCGCTGCCAGAGGTTCCGCAGCAGAATCCAGATATCAATTGGCAGTGCCGTCTCCTCCTGAGCCGCCTCCTTAACATCCATGAACGCATCGACCACTATAGCAATCACGACATTCATCAGAATAAACACCATGATGACAATAAACGACAGCCAGAAGACAAACGCTGCCAACCGCTCCCAACCCTCCAGCATCGCGTAGTAATACGCGGTGGAGTTGTCTTGAATGAGCATGAAGAAGCAGGAGAGCATGGCGTTGGGGATGGTGCGGAACTGCGCGAGCGTTCGGCCGAAGACGAGGTAGCCATAGAAGGAGAATCCGAGGAAGATGATTCCGAAGACGAGGAAGAAGTGCAGGATGGCCGGCAGCGCTGCTGCCATGGTGCGCGTGATTATGCCGATGCGGGGTTGGAAGTCCATCAGCTTGAGCAGGCGCTGCACCATTAGGAACACACTGGAGAGGGGGGGCCCGTGGGGAGTGGGGAGTATGGAGAGAGTGAGACAGGGCAGGGAGGAGGGGACTGGGGAGGAGGATGACGTGTGGCACACATGGTGCACATGGCACACATGGTGCACATGGCACACATGGTGCACATGGCACACACATGCCTTGAATAGCAAAGCTGAATGATGTCATCCATGGTGCACCTGCATCGCCCTCTCAAAGCCGCCATTCACCGCTCGGAACCGCAAAGAACCGAACCGCACCTCCCTTTCTCACCTGCCCTGTGTGTGTGTGTGTGGTTTTTAGTGGGGCGACTTACTTGATTCCTTGGATGGCAAAGTAGAAGGAGCGCAGTTGAATGATGTCATCCATGGTGCGATACACCTGCATCGCCCTCTCAAAGCCGCCAGATGCCGCACTGCACTTACCACCCAGAACCGCACTGCACCTCGCTCACCTGCCTTGAATGTGGCCTTGAATGTGGAGACTTACTTGATTCCTTGGATAGCAAAGTAGAAGGAGCGCAGCTGAATGATGTCATCCATGGTGCGATACACCTGCATCGCCCTCTCAAAGCACCATGATGCCGCACCGGATTCGCCACACAAAACCGCACTGCACCGCTCTCACCTGACCTGTGTGTGGTGTTGGGTGTGTGTGTCGTGACTCACTTGATTCCTTGGATGGCGAAGTAGAAGGAGCGCAGCTGAATGATGTCATGTATGGTGCGATACACCTGCATCGCCTTCTCAAAGCACCATGATGCTGCACCGGATTCGCCACACAAAACCGCACTGCACCGCTCTCACCTGACCTGTGTGTGGTGTTGGGTGTGTGTGTCGTGACTCACTTGATTCCTTGGATAGCAAAGTAGAAGGAGCGCAGCTGAATGATGTCATCCATGGTGCGATACACCTGCATCGCCCTCTCAAAGCCGCCATTCGTCGTGTTGACCGCCCAGAATTGCGATGTCGTGTCGTCGAGGGATGTGTACACGTTGTAGCGCACGCTGATGTCGGAGAGAGGCGAGAGCTGCTGCACCATGATGATCCTGAGAGGAGAAAAGGGAAGAAGGGGAGATGGGGGTGTGTCTGTGAGGGTGACAGCGACAGAGTGAGGGAGGTGTGCACGTTGTAGCGCACGCTGATGCCAGAGAGGGGCGAGAGCTGCTGTACCATGATGATCCTGATAGGTGGTGAGGATGGCAGATGAAGAGTAGAGGGGAGAGGATGGGGGAGGAAGGGGTTGTGTTGATGGCCCAGAACTGGGCTGTCGTGTTGTCGAGGGACGTGTGCACGTTGTAGCGCACGCTGATGCCAGAGAGGGGCGAGAGCTGCTGTACCATGATGATCCTGAGAGGAAGGAAGGGAAGAGGGAGAAGGGGATGTTTATGTGAGGCTGACAGAGAAAGAGCAAGAGAGGTGTACACTTTGTAGCGCACGCTGATGATTGGTACTAAGCGTAAGTGCGTTACTTAACCTAATGATTGGTACTAATGTAAGTGCGTTACTTAACCTTATGCTTTGTAATAAATGTAAATGCATTACTTATTAACCTTATGACCGGTACTAACCGTAAGTGCGTCACTTAAGTTATGATTTGTAGTATGTATACGTGCATTACTTAACCTTATGACTGGTACTAAGAGTAAGTAAGTGCGTCACTTAACTATTATGATTACTACTTTGTAAAATTACACTACTTAACATTATGTCTAGTATCAAGCGTATGTGCGTTACTTAACGTTATGATTTGGTAGCAAGAATAACTGCGTTACCAAACCTTATGATTCATACAAAGTGCTAGTGCGTTACTTAACCTTATCATTGGTACTAAGTGTATGTGTGTTACTTATCCTTATCATTTGTACCAAGTGTAAGTGCGCTACTTAAAACATATTATTAGTACTAAATACAAGTGCGCTTCTTACCATTATGATTGGTACGAAGTACATCTGCGCTACTTATCTTTATGGCTGGTAGTAAATATAGGTGTGTTACTTAACCTTATGAATGGTACTAAGTGTAAGTGTGTTACTCAATCGTCTGATTGGTATTAAGTGGTGAAAGAAGTCGCCCGTGTAGCGGCACGCCTGGGCTGGGTCATCTCGTTCCGTTCACCTCCTCCAACTGGTTGTAGGCACACATTACCGCACATCACCCACTCTCCAATCCAAGCAGCACCGCACTGCACCACAAACAAACACTCACCAGAAGACGATGCCCCAAAACCTGGATGGAGAGCGAGAGCAGGTCAATCCAGTTGCTAGACTGGCAAAAGTGATGCAAGAAGCTGCACGAGTGGGGCTAGGTCCGGAACATCTCGTTCACCTCCTCGAGCAGGTTGTAGGCCACACAGCACCGCATAGCACCACATATCACCACAAAGCAACACAGAGCAGGAGAGCAGGCACGCACCAAATAACGATGCCCCAGATTTGAATGGAGAGCGAGAGCAGGTCGATTTAATTGCCAAACTGGCGGAAGTGGTGAAAAAAACTCCCCGAGTGGCGGTATGTCTGGAACATCTCGTTGACCTCCTCCAGCAGGTTGTACGCCACACAGAACCGCACAGCACCCACTCTCCACTCCACACAGCACCGCACAGAACCCCAAAAAACGGCACAGAACCGCACTGCAGGGCACAGCAGGGAAGGACTCACCAGACAACAATACCCCAGACTTGAATGGAGAGCGAGAGCAGGTCAATCCAGTTGCCAAACTGGCGAAAATGATGGAGGAAGCTGCCCGAGTGGCGATAAGTCTGGAACATCTCGTTGACCTCCTCCAGCAGGTTGTATGCGACACACACCACGTAGATGATCTCGAGGACCATCTGAGCGTAGGAGGACGCGGACGAGTAGGGCTCCACTGGGATTGGCACCAGCCGGTAGGAGTAACCCAGCTTGCCCCCAACGTCCACCTCTATGTGGATCTGATTATCAGGAAGGGATACGGGACAAGGAGGGAACAGAAAAAGGTCAGGGAACGAGAGACAGAGGTTTCAGGGAAGAGGGGGGTTGTAGTGAACCCTCCCCCCCTCCACCCAGGCCACGCACACCACGTAGATGATCTCGAGGACCATCTGAGCGTAGGAGGACGCGGATGAGTACGGCTCCACTGGGATTGGCACGAGGCGGTAGGAGTAGCCTAGTTTCCCTCCCACGTCCACCTCTATGCGGATCTGATCAGCGAGACGGGGAACGGGACGAGGAGGGGAAGGGAGGGGGCAGGGTGGTCTGAGTTTGGATTCCTAATTATGGAATCTTGTTGACCTCCTCCAGCAGGTTGTAGGCGACGCACACCACGTAGATGATCTCGAGGACCATCTGAGCGTAGGAGGATGCGGACGAGTACGGCTCCACTGGGATTGGCACCAGCCGGTACGAGTAACCCAGCTTGCCCCCAACATCCACTTCTATACGGATCTGCCAGGGGAGGGGTACGGGACAAGGAGGGGAAGGGGACACGGAGGGAACAGCGAAAGTTAGTGAACGAGAGACAGGTTGTAGGCGACGCACACCACGTAGATGATCTCAAGCACCATCTGAGCGTAGGAGGACGCCGACAAGTACGGTTCCACTGGGATTGGCACTAGCCGGTACGAGTAACCCAGCTTGCCCCCAACATCCACCTCCATGCGGATCTGGGAGAGAAAGAGGAGAAGGAGAGGGGAAAAAAGGACGAATATGGGATGAATTGGAAGTACATGGAAATGTTTAAGGCAAGCACATGGATACACACATCAGCAAACAAAGGAATGTACATTTAACGGGTCAACTGGAACCTTTGTTCCCTTATGCTTCTTTTGAACCACAGCAGAGTATTGAACTCCAAGAGTGGGGTAAGAGTTTAGGTACTATACTATACGATCAGTTGCATCCACCTGCTCCTCGGTGGGATTCTGCCCCACCCAAGCCAACTGCACCACCCTAGCCAACTGCCCCACCCTAGCCAACTGCACCACCCTAGCCAACTGCCCCACCCTAGCCAACTGCCCCACCCTAGCCAACTGCACCACCCTAGCCAACTGCACCACCCTAGTCAACTGCCCCACCCTAGCCAACTGCACCACCCTAGCCAACTGCACCACCCTAGCCAACTGCCCCACCCTAGCCAACTGCCCCACCCTAGCCAACTGCCCCACCCTAGCCAACTGCCCCACCCTAGCCAACTGCCCCACCCTAGCCAACTGCCCCACCCTAGCCAACTGCCCCACCCTAGCCAACTGCCCCACCCTAGCCAACTGCACCACCCTAGCCAACTGCCCCAAACTAGCCAACTGCCCCACCCTAGCCAACTGCCCCACCCTAGCCAACTGCCCCACCCTAGCCAACTGCCCCACCCTAGCCAACTGCCCCACCCTAGCCAACTGCCCCACCCTAGCCAACTGCCCCACCCTAGCCCACTGCACCACCCTAGCCAACTGCCCCACCCTAGCCAACTGCCCCACCCTAGCCAACTGCCCCACCCTAGCCAACTGCACCACCCTAGCCAACTGCCCCACCCTAGCCAACTGCCCCACCCTAGCCAACTGCCCCACCCTAGCCAACTGCCCCACCCTAGCCAACTGCCCCACCCTAGCCAACTGCCCCACCCTAGCCAACTGCACCACCCTAGCCAACTGCCCCACCCTAGCCAACTGCCCCACCCTAGCCAACTGCACCACCCTAGCCAACTGCCCCACCCTAGCCAACTGCCCCACCCTAGCCAACTGCACCACCCTAGCCAACTGCCCCACCCTAGCCAACTGCCCCACCCTAGCCAACTGCCCCACCCTAGCCAACTGCCCCACCCTAGCCAACTGCCCCACCCTAGCCAACTGCCCCACCCTAGCCAACTGCCCCACCCTAGCCAACTGCCCCACCCTAGCCAACTGCACCACCCTAGCCAACTGCCCCACCCTAGCCAACTGCCCCACCCTAGCCAACTGCCCCACCCTAGCCAACTGCCCCACCCTAGCCAACTGCCCCACCCTAGCCAACTGCCCCACCCTAGCCAACTGCCCCACCCTAGCCAACTGCCCCACCCTAGCCAACTGCCCCACCCTAGCCAACTGCCCCACCCTAGCCAACTGCCCCACCCTAGCCAACTGCCCCACCCTAGCCAACTGCCCCACCCTAGCCAACTGCCCCACCCTAGCCAACTGCCCCACCCTAGCCAACTGCCCCACCCTAGCCAACTGCCCACCCTAGCCAACTGCCCACCCTAGCCAACTGCCCCACCCTAGCCAACTGCCCCACCCTAGCCAACTGCCCCCACCCTAGCCAACTGCCCCACCCTAGCCAACTGCCCCACCCTAGCCAACTGCACCACCCTAGCCCAACTGCCCCACCTAGCCAACTGCCCCACCCTAGCCAACTGCCCCACCCTAGCCAACTGCCCCACCCTAGCCAACTGCCCCACCCTAGCCAACTGCCCCACCCTAGCCAACTGCCCCACCCTAGCCAACTGCCCCACCCTAGCCAACTGCCCCACCCTAGCCAACTGCCCCACCCTAGCCAACTGCCCCACCCTAGCCAACTGCCCCACCCTAGCCAACTGCCCCACCCTAGCCAACTGCCCCACCCTAGCCAACTGCCCACCCTAGCCAACTGCCCCACCCTAGCCAACTGCCCCACCCTAGCCAACTGCCCCACCCTAGCCAACTGCCCCACCCTAGCCAACTGCCCCACCCTAGCCAACTGCCCCACCCTAGCCAACTGCCCCACCCTAGCCAACTGCCCCACCCTAGCCAACTGCCCCACCCTAGCCAACTGCCCCACCCTAGCCAACTGCCCCACCCTAGCCAACTGCCCCACCCTAGCCAACTGCCCCACCCTAGCCAACTGCCCCACCCTAGCCAACTGCCCCACCCTAGCCAACTGCCCCACCCTAGCCAACTGCCCCACCCTAGCCAACTGCCCCACCCTAGCCAACTGCCCCACCCTAGCCAACTGCACCACCCTAGCCAACTGCCCCACCCTAGCCAACTGCACCACCCTAGCCAACTGCCCCACCCTAGCCAACTGCCCCACCCTAGCCAACTGCCCCACCCTAGCCAACTGCCCCACCCTAGCCAACTGCCCCACCCTAGCCAACTGCCCCACCCTAGCCAACTGCCCCACCCTAGCCAACTGCCCCACCCTAGCCAACTGCCCCACCCTAGCCAACTGCCCCACCCTAGCCAACTGCACCACCCTAGCCAACTGCCCCACCCTAGCCAACTGCCCCACCCTAGCCAACTGCACCACCCTAGCCAACTGCCCCACCCTAGCCAACTGCCCCACCCTAGCCAACTGCCCCACCCTAGCCAACTGCCCCACCCTAGCCAACTGCCCCACCCTAGCCAACTGCCCCACCCTAGCCAACTGCCCCACCCTAGCCAACTGCCCCACCCTAGCCAACTGCCCCACCCTAGCCAACTGCCCCACCCTAGCCAACTGCCCCACCCTAGCCAACTGCCCCACCCTAGCCAACTGCCCCACCCTAGCCAACTGCCCCACCCTAGCCAACTGCCCCACCCTAGCCAACTGCCCCACCCTAGCCAACTGCCCCACCCTAGCCAACTGCCCCACCCTAGCCAACTGCCCCACCCTAGCCAACTGCCCCACCCTAGCCAACTGCCCCACCCTAGCCAACTGCCCCACCCTAGCCAACTGCCCCACCCTAGCCAACTGCCCCACCCTAGCCAACTGCCCCACCCTAGCCAACTGCCCCACCCTAGCCAACTGCCCCACCCTAGCCAACTGCCCCACCCTAGCCAACTGCCCCACCCTAGCCAACTGCCCCACCCTAGCCAACTGCCCCACCCTAGCCAACTGCCCCACCCTAGCCAACTGCCCCACCCTAGCCAACTGCCCCACCCTAGCCAACTGCCCCACCCTAGCCAACTGCCCCACCCTAGCCAACTGCCCCACCCTAGCCAACTGCCCCACCCTAGCCAACTGCCCCACCCTAGCCAACTGCCCCACCCTAGCCAACTGCCCCACCCTAGCCAACTGCCCCACCCTAGCCAACTGCCCCACCCTAGCCAACTGCCCCACCCTAGCCAACTGCCCCACCCTAGCCAACTGCCCCACCCTAGCCAAGTGCCCCACCCTAGCCAACTGCCCCACCCTAGCCAACTGCCCCACCCTAGCCAACTGCCCCACCCTAGCCAACTGCCCCACCCTAGCCAACTGCCCCACCCTAGCCAACTGCCCCACCCTAGCCAACTGCCCCACCCTAGCCAACTGCCCCACCCTAGCCAACTGCCCCACCCTAGCCAACTGCCCCACCCTAGCCAACTGCCCCACCCTAGCCAACTGCCCCACCCTAGCCAACTGCCCCACCCTAGCCAACTGCCCCACCCTAGCCAACTGCCCCACCCTAGCCAACTGCCCCACCCTAGCCAACTGCCCCACCCTAGCCAACTGCCCCACCCTAGCCAACTGCCCCACCCTAGCCAACTGCCCCACCCTAGCCAACTGCCCCACCCTAGCCAACTGCCCCACCCTAGCCAACTGCCCCACCCTAGCCAACTGCCCCACCCTAGCCAACTGCCCCACCCTAGCCAACTGCCCCACCCTAGCCAACTGCCCCACCCTAGCCAACTGCCCCACCCTAGCCAACTGCCCCACCCTAGCCAACTGCCCCACCCTAGCCAACTGCCCCACCCTAGCCAACTGCCCCACCCTAGCCAACTGCCCCACCCTAGCCAACTGCCCCACCCTAGCCAACTGCCCCACCCTAGCCAACTGCCCCACCCTAGCCAACTGCCCCACCCTAGCCAACTGCCCCACCCTAGCCAACTGCCCCACCCTAGCCAACTGCCCCACCCTAGCCAACTGCCCCACCCTAGCCAACTGCCCCACCCTAGCCAACTGCCCCACCCTAGCCAACTGCCCCACCCTAGCCAACTGCCCCACCCTAGCCAACTGCCCCACCCTAGCCAACTGCCCCACCCTAGCCAAC